ATTTGATATTTCTATTGTATTAATTCATATATGTAGTTATTATCTAAATACTATATTTCATAGGATTGTAGTAAGGTATTATAATTTTTTATTGGTTTTTATTAGAGTGTACAAAAATTAATGAGGTTTGTGAGCCTAAATTCCACCACTCTATGAAACTATTACTACACAATAGATTTGAAAGGTAAAATAGAGAACTCCTAATTGTGTAATTGTTAAATTAATTAAATTATAATTATTTGTAATTCAATTTAACTTTTGCCTTCTAAGCAATAGTTACCAATGTTAATTATTATTATGATTATTATTATTATTATTATTATTTATTTTTATGATAAGAATAATAATAATATTATTATTACTATCATTATTATTATTTTATAATAATATTAATAATAATAATAATATTATTATATTAATAAAAATAACATTATTATTATATTAATAAAAATAACATTATTATTATATTAACAATATTATTAATTTTTATGATAAATTATGATAATAATAATTTATTGATTTATTTTAGTATATAAAAGCTATCATATATATAATAGATAAATAAAATAAATAAATAAAAATAAAAATAAAATAAAAGTAGAAGTAGAAGCAAAATAAAAGTGAAACAGAAATAGGAATAAAAGTGAAGTAAAAATAATAAAAAAAGATAAAAATAAAAGTAAGAAAAAATTAAAATAAATTGAAAGTTAAAAATTTGAAATTAAAAGTTGATTTAAGGTTAAGTCAAAAGTCGGAAGGTGAAGAATAAAAAGAAAAAAAACAAAGTAAAGATGGAAAGAACTAACCTCAACCATGCTCCACTTAAGGGTAGTAGACTTCCTTCTATTCCAAAATTTTCCAAAAATTTGGATCAGCTTTAAATCTAATGATTTTTGTTTGATTGAGAACTTGACTTAAAGATGCTCTTGCTCCAAAACTCTTCATAGCAATTCAATACTTGAGCTACGAGAAATGTCCCTTCAATCCCCTCATACTCAACAATTCACCAAAAAATATTTCTAGCTCCAAATCAAGCGAACTTTAGCTCATTGGAAAGTTGACAACAAGAGGTATGTGTTAAAAAAAAAATTCACTTTTAAAATCATAAAAACTACAGACTTAATAATAACTTTTAAATCACTTTTCAAATCATAAAATTATTAAACTTTAAATAAATTAATAAAATATTAAATATTAAATAAGATATTAATATAATTCATGAAATTTGAAACTTTTAATATTTTTTCTAAAATATTATATTTTTATTATTATAAATATACATACAATAGAACATCGTCTATCTATGATGACAAAGCTAATTTGTATGTGTAAGTCATTCTAGATATTGAAACAATTCCTACACACAAAAAAAAAAAAAAAAAAAAAAAAAAACAACAACAACAACAACAACAAAAATATAAAAATATAATCAAACAACCATTTCTATCATAATATTAGAAAAAAAAATGTTTTTTTTTCCTTACATCATATATTGAACAAAAGATCAGTTTGATGGATTCAAAATTACCAACTCAATGTAACAGTTTTTATTGATTATAAATAAAACAAAGAAAACAATTTTTTCTTTGATGATAGTTGGATGTACAGGGGGTACACAGGCCATACTAGTCTTTCATAAAAGCATATAGTGTAAATCAATTAATGTTACATTCTCTTCAATAAAATAACTTGCAAAATATTTGATCTATATAAAAAAAAATTATGTTAAAAAATGGTTTTTTTGTCCATATATATTCATACTGCATTCTTGTATTTGTAACTAATCCTTGTAAAATGCTGTGAACTCTATGTGGTACAATACCAAGATTGGTAGCTCAAAAAATTATTTATCATAAACAATAAAAAAAAATCTTCCATATTAACCCCTTATTAGAATAATATCTTAATTAGCACATAAATAAATTCATACTTATATTGTGTGTTGGCCAAGTCTTATTAAAGAATTTGATTTTGTGATTGATTTCATAAAAACATTTATTTGAAGATAATTTGTAATAGTTTTGTATAAAGTCAAAGCTCTAATTAAGAATATGGTAACATTATGCTTTTGATAATATTTCCTTGGAAGGTTGCCAATTAAAATACAAATTTGCAGATAAAGTAAATAAAAAGAGCCAAAGTATTACTAATAGTTTTTCAAAAGTATTTTTATTGATTTTTTTTTTTTTTAAAACTCAATTCTAAGAAAAAAGACAATGAGACTTATGAGCAAAATATATCAAAATTATTAACAATGGAGGTTTCTACCTTATTTTTTGACATATTAGCAAAACCATCTTCTTTCATTATTTGACTACCATATATCACTTGGTCCAAGATGTTTGTTTAATTATATAAATTATTTAAATATACCTTTAAAGCCTCTTTCACATAAATATTTTTAATTCTATATTAATCTTATTCTTCTATTTGACACAATTACTTTGTAACATTATTAACAATCTATCTTTTTTCTTAGACTTCAATTATCCACAAACATCTAAAATATTATATAATATTTATAGTCAATATCTCAAAAAAATTCAAATGATTTAAGTAGATTTTCTTTCTTTCTTGCTTTTTTTCTTTCTTTCTTTTTCTTTCTTTATATATATATATATATATATATATATATATATAGTATAATTTATTTAAATTTAAATTCTTTTATTGTAGTATGTTACACAACCATAGTGTTAAGGATAAGAATGATATTTCTTCTAACAAATGGGTGCCATTTAATTGACTAATATAGTAAAAGTATTATCAAAAAAATATGAATTTTAGTTATCATTTTAGCCTTTACATAAAACAAATTATATATATATATATATATATATATATATATATTTACTATGATGGTGAGAACTTGTGCCAATTTGTTTATAGGATGTATTGGGATTTGTGCTTGTATTACTAATATTCATCTCTAATATTGCTAATACTTGGCTATTAATATCTATATTAAAAGAAACACTGATCATTAGATGCTTAGAAACTATTAAACCATTCTTTGAAGGAACTTTTTATCAATCTCTTTGGCAAGGTAATTGAAAAAAACATGAGGCTTGGAAAGAAGATGGAAGATAATTAACCTTCGATATTATACCAAATAAAAAGACAATTTGTCAACAAAATGTGGATTAAAAATGTATAGAAATAAAGAAGAGAAACACAAAAAACTTGTTTTTTATAATTTGGAGATTGAACATCTTTTCATTGAACCTTTGGTCTAGATTTCAATATTCTAGTTGTATATCAATCCACAATCTAACAATTCAAAACCTAGCCAAATTGTGTTGCAAATTTAGTCAAGACTCAATGACCACTTCCAAACATTATTGGATTGTGCTACCTTTTATCAAATGTTGATCCACAATACTAACTCAATGCTCTTACTTTTATTTAATTATAGCAGCTAGTCTTCTTTGCTAAAGCACCTACTTATTATCTTGTCCTAATTTGATATGATCCATGTATCTAATTTTTAGGTGGTTGGATATTTCCAACCGAGATTAGATTCCAATGTTTTATTGTCTGGATTTTAGATGGATTGTGAATTTCTAATCCACAAACTTCTTGATTTAGATTTTTTCTATTGTCTAAACCCTATTGGTCTAAATCTAATACTAAGTTAATTAGGCTAGTTAACACAATTGTGGTGGACTAAGCACATATTCAGTAATATTAGATTACTTTTGGGCATGCATAAAGTAACCAAGAATGTGTCTACTGTTCAAAGATATAATTATAATTTTTATTTTGGATTATAAAAAGATAAATTAATCCAAAATAAAAATATATAAAATTTCAAAATACAACACATAATGTGTTTAGTTTAAAAGATGTTATTTCTAATGCTCCATAAATAAGTAATTATATAAATAAAATACAAATCTTTTGAAGCTCATGTGTTTATCAAGCTTTTACTTCTAAATAAATTTATCTTTTTATCTTTTGTATTCTTTTTTATTCCAACACTATTCACAATAATATATTTTATCAAAAAAAAGTGTTAATCAATACTTTGAAAGTTAATTGTAGACAAAAGTAGTTTATTTTTTCGTTTTACTCATTTACAAGTTTAATAAAATCTTAAAAATAATCTCGAACAGATAAAATAAAATAAACAGGTGTGAGTAAAAACTGTGAAAAGTTGGTCCAAAATTTTGAACAATTTCGAACAATTTTGAACAATTTCAGTTTTCAGAAAAAAATTCAAAATAAAAACTTTAAAAAATAAAATATGTCTATTCGCAGAAGCAAGCTAATTATTTAAAAGACACTTTATAATATAGTGCCAGAATCTAGATTTCAGTAGTTTCACTTAACACACTACATCTGGCATCAGAAGAGAGTATAAAAAAGGCATATTTTCATTGATAATAAATGGTATAAGTCACTTTCCAATACCATAAACATAACTCAACCAATTGTAAATACAGAAAATTTACGCATCTTTTGTTTCACAATTTGAGTTCATCCACAAATGCCACCAAACTAGGGTGCATGAGGAAAATCTACCACCTACTTTTAGCAAATATGTTTATTTAGACACAGTGTATACTAACTTCATGGAATCAAACTATCCAAAATAGAATCAAGAGAACTTTACTTGCAATGTCTTTTGAGCTTCTGCTTTCATCCATGATCTGCCAAGGGGTCTGTTCTCCCAGCATCTGAATTCACCACATAAATCAACCTCCCTCTCGTCTAAAAAGTGGACAAAAACTGGATTCTGATACCTTTCTAAAAGACAAAAACAGACAGGGTCTCAATGATAAGAACGTGACATGATCGTTATCTGCAACACTCGTGATATTGCAAGCAGGCGGACGACCATCCCATCCCCTTGTAGGCCATGGTCAGGGTGACATAGAGCAAGTGGTCCCCAAGTGCCCTCAAGATTATTGTAGATAGAGTAGGATATACGATTGTGACTTCAGATTCGAGCATAAGACTTATGCAAAGTACAAAACTTCAGAGACAACTTCATAGCATTGGAAGACAAAGCAGAAATCACTTGTTAAAAGAGTAATTACCATGAAGGCAAACAATTGTACCTCAGATCCCCATGAAGAACCTCGGATCACAACTGATTTGTGATTTTCACCATCGACTTGTATTACACAGAGTTTAAAACTGACATCGTCAAATGATACAGTAATCACTTGAAATATGATCTTTACAGTTGCACAAATAAGGCAACAAACAAGTTTAACTATCAGTGGTGTGCATGATACTGAGAAATCCATTTTCGTCCTCCGTGTGCTGAAAATGAGGATCAGTTACACAAAAGATTTCATGCATTCAGCATATATTTGAGCTCACTTTGGTAAATCAAGGTCTGGCCTACAGTCAGGAACTGCATCTTTGAAGGCATCCGGGTAATGCTTTTGAATCCGTGCTTTTAAAGACCTGAATTCATGACGAAAAATCACGGAGTATGAGATGCAATCGTTACAATTGGAACCTACTTTTAGGTGTCGAAATCATCAAGTAAGTAAGTACACATAAAAGTGCTGTTATTCACAATAGACGCTCTTATATTTTATTTCAGCAGTTATGAAAGGGACTGTAATAGCCAAGAAAAAGAAAAAGAAAAAAAGAAATGAAGTCTAAGCCAACAGGAGAGAAACAAGCGATGGCGACGGATGACTGTGATAACGATTCACACGATAAGAATCTCACGGTGGTGAAACAGTGAGATGGCCATACCCTATTTTTCGAAACACGTAGTCCAGGTCGCTCTTCATGGACTTGAGGAGGCGAGTGTTCTGAGAGAAATCGTTCGCCACAGCAGTGAAGCTACGATCTGAAAAGTCATTGAAATGTGAAAGCACTGCATTGCTATCTTGCAACCTCCCCAGTCTGCTTAGCACCAGATCACAATGAACCAGTGTAAAAATATCGTACCAGAATCCGACCGATGACCCTATAAGTTTACACAATTCCATGCTTAATGGGAACAAAACACAACCACTCGAGGTTTACTATAATTCGATCTTTAGACCTAAAACTTGGTATCAATGTGAGCAATGAACTACGAAAATGATGCGGAACAGGGTTATCCGCGCGTGCACTTTGCAAAACAGAGAACGAATTAGTAAGAAAACGTTGAAGTACGGAATAGGGCTTAAAAAAATAAACCCAACATGAAAAGAAAAAGAAAAAGAAGTAGTGCCCTAAGTACATGAGTAGCTGTTGATGCTTTAGGGTACCAACGTCGGAGGCACTGAGCAAGCTATGGATTTTTTCAGCTGTTGCCGAAGAAGCGGCCGCGATGCTGGCTACATCCTTCTCTGCCATATCCTTGCGAGGTTCCATGGGCACTTCACCTCTGCACCTCTCAATTCCCACTCCCTAAAACAAAAACCCAGTTGTTGTAACACTTGGGCTCCTGCCAGTCTGCACTACAGTGCTAAAACCTCGCCCTCTTCAACCTACCTTGTCATCGAAACCACCAGATCGCAAGCTGAAAACCGAAACCCAGCACCACCCAATGGCTATCAAAGCCGCGTCATGAGCAGAGTTGCCGATTGCGATGTCAATTTTCTACAAAATCAGGCCCACGATCACTCTGAAAACTACCCACCAATTACAGATTTACATGAAAATCCATCGAATTGTGCGCGAGAGCGATTTCGCAAGACGGGATTCCTCCGGCGTCGATTGGCAACGACACTACCAACCTCGGTTGAAGCTGCGGGGAGCCTTTGACCGTGAATTGGTGTCGGCCTGTGATCACGAAAAGAGGACGCTCGGTCAAAGGTATTACCGTGGTCAATGACAATAGTCTTACCAGTCTCGGGAGTCGGACTTGGATCCTTTCAAACGAAGGGCTTTCAAGTAAATTTAAAACTTTATATTATCAGAATACTGATTCTCAGTGTAGATGTGTATTAATACATTTAATCTAGATTAAGATGTTTCAAGTTCTAAACAAAAACAATAAATACAATAAATATTGATAAAATTTTAAAGTGGAAATTTACGTTTTGCATCATGGCCAGACTAGAATTATTTAAAAGGCAACACATGATGTGATGCTGGCAAGTTTTGTAAAGTTGCCGCTGACATGTCATTCTTGAGGGTAACAGGGAGTTCCTTGTGCCCCTTCTCAAACCACAGCAATCCCTGGCAAACAAAGTGATTCTGCAGCTAATCAATTCTCTCAAGTAGCATAAATATATATATATATATTAAAACTTACATCTATAATATTGAATTGGTTTGGTTTTATGTAGGTTGTAGTTATAAGTTGAACTTATACTTCTCTTCAATTTTAGATTTTTTTTTTAATAATTTTTTTAAAAAAAATTCAAATGATTTTATGCAATTATCTTCACATTTGTTACAAAAACATTAAATTTCTTTTATATTAGTTTCTCTTTCTAATTTTTTCCTCAAAACTTGTATAAAAAAGAAAAGAGGATATACTTAGATATGAACACGTATCTAAAATACACAACTTGAAAATAAAATTAATTTCATTTTCCATATTAAAAGTATATGCAATATAATCAAAATAATTTTTGGCTATGATGGTAGATATAATAATTTTTTATAAAACCTAAATTTTAATAATACATATATATTATTTTAATAACATATTTATATGTTATTACTAAAAATATTTTAATAAATCATATTAATAATAGAATAGAAAGTATATAATATAAGATTCATTGCTATTCTAAAACAATATTACATTTGTTTAGGATCTATATACATAAAAAAACATAAAACATCGTTTAATTATTATTACATCTAAATATGTATAAACTAATATTTATTCAAAATGATTATATAATAAAACATCATTCTAGTTAACTTCTTAGGACCAAAGAAATTATTGAGTATATAGAATAGTTGATTATATAGTGTTGACTATACAATGACAAATAGTGTATGTATTGTAGATTGAAACTAACAAAATGCATTGATTATAATCCAAAGTTGATTGTAACAAAGTTGACTATTAAAAAAATTAATTGCATATAAAAAATAGTAGAATATATAAAGTAAAAATAACAATCAAATAATAAAAAATAATAGTAATATTTATAGTAGATTTTTAAAAATAAATATTTTTTCTATTATTATTATTATGATTATTATTATTATTATTTATAAGGAGTTACTAAAGCAACATCTCCATGATGTTAATGTGATACTACCTTAGATTCTTATAATTATTTTAGTCTATTTTCAAGCAACCTTCCTTTGCTCTATGAGTTGTATTCATGAATGTAGCTCAACATGTAATAGTTAGATATTCATATCATAGAATGTTATGAGTTTGACCTTGTAGAACTAGTTACGACTTCCATTGTCATTGTAATTTGGAATTGTCATCATCATTGTTAAGACTTGTTACAAAAGCGTTGTTGATTTTGCTATCTTTTTTTCTCTTTCTCATAGAAAAGATGTTGTTCTTCTTGTATTTATAACGCCCTATTTGATTCATGTGTTTAACTCCCTATTAAGACTCTTTTTGTAGTTCATGTATTTAACTCTCTATATAGTTCATGGCAATGACATCTTGTTTCATGCAAAATATCTTTATATAATACAAGGTGAGGTTGTAACATTTCTTATTGCTTTTTTCATATATCATTGGATACATATGTAATTAAGCAACTGCAATTTGGTAAGTGATCCTCTTAATGCAAGGTTCTAGAGAACAATTTGATATCTTTTATTGATGCGATATGGTTTTTAGGATTGCAATGGACAACAACTAATTTTGAGCAATACAAGAAACCTAAATAAAAGCTAGTTATGAATAAATCTATGGTAATTAGAATTAAAATTATTATTACTATTTTTTAGAAAAGATAAGAGTTGAAAAAACAACTATTGCTTGTACTTGCCAAAGAAAGATTGCTTGATATTATGATTTTTTTAATTTAAGTAATTAATTTTGAATTGATAACAACTCATACAGGTTTCCACATTAAGTTTTTGGTTAGTCTAGATTGAATCAAAATGATGCTTGGCATAAGCATTTTTTTTGTTTCATCCTAAGTGATTTTTTTTACTTTGATTTTAATTCAATAAATCTAAAATATATAATTTGGTCTTACATCATTGGTTTATTTATTTTTTAATGCATAACATAAAAGATATACTTCATATTATCAGATTATTTGAGTAGTATTAATTGATATTTAAATTTTAAAAATTACATATTTTTCTAAAATAAATTTGGTAGTAGCATTGGCTATGAAATATAGATTGTGATTTGGCTTACTTGATGCAGATGTATATGGTCCTTCTATTTGTACTATAATAAATTAGAGCATGCAAAAAAAAAAAAAAAAAAAAAAAAAAACACAATTATCATTGGCCTCCTCTAGACAACTAGAGAATCTTCATCCATAAAGAACTCCATTGATATACATTACACATAGTAGTTTTTGATTGGTATCATCTTTGACTTTGTAGAAAAGCAAAAGAAATTGCAACAATATCTTCAAAAGAATGGAAAAATGAGACTTACAAGATATAATAGTTTACATCAACTTCTAATTAACATTCTTTTATTCTAAACATTTCCAAAACATCATGGTTAGAGGTGATATACAATGACAAATAAAAAGACATAATGATAATTACTAAATTCTATAATTGACTGTAATTAATTCACAAAATAGAGATAGACTATATGTTTCAAGAATACAAGATAATAAAAATATTAAATTAAAAAATTAAAAAATTAAATTATATAAGATCAAAATTAAGAAAAAAATTGTGAGTACTTGAATCAAGCTAGAAGTATTTGTCAAGTTTTTCAATTTGGTTTTTAAAGACATAAACTACACAAAGATTCTTAAAAAAATTCTACACACATGTGGACTTGTATAAAGAAGCTAACCACAAATATTCTTGTTGGACACTTTGTGCTTTACTTCTTTGACTACATATCTAATGCTATTTTGGACCTTCTCTAAAGCCTTTTCTACCTTGTTCTTCAATTTGTCAATTACTTTCTTTTACTTTCTACATACACTAATATTCTAGTATGGATATAAGCAGATTCAATACTTATTTAGGAAATCATGTATTATTACATATAATCAATGCTTCATGCCCTAAGCAATATTCTTCTAATATTATTAATTGGACCTCCAAAATTCTTGTTCATTATAAGCAAAAATATGCACTTATTTCAGATTTACAAGATAATCATGCATGTATTTTAAAATCTTATTATCAAATTTTGTCTTTCATTACAATATTAATGCAGCTCAAAGTGTGTACCATGCACTATATTGGCTGCTTGGCTCTAATAACATTCTCTTTGCAATTCATCTGAATTTTTTTTGTTGTTTCAACCTTCAAATGTATTAAAATAGAATATTTTTATTAATATGCTATCTATATATATATAAAAAGATAGTCAATATTAAAAAAAATTATGTATAAAAAATATGATTATTAATTCTTTATCAGTTACTACTCTAAGTAGTGCTACTCCATTATTAAAGATTAATTTAACTCTCTTTAATGTTCAAACATAGTTTACTTTATTTTTATCCTTCAAAAATATAAAGCATGATAAAAAAGAAGAATTCAAGAAAGTCACATTTATAACATGAAAGAGTGGTATTTTAAATTTATTGATCTTATACTTTTAGTCTAATAAGATAATGTAGGAATATTTTTATATGAATTCCATTGGAAGAGGATGAATATAGAAAAATCAAGTGATAGCACTACTTTCATTATAATAGTAATCATATTAAAAATTTGACTTCTTCATTTTATCTTGCAAAGTTGTAAGAAACATACATCCTTGCAGTAATTAATAGTGCATAACTCTATGTTGGTTATAAATATTTGAAAATGAGACCATGATACTAAACTTATACTTAATTAAAGGTGTTGCATACTTAATATCTATAAATAAAAGTTATTTCTTGATTTATTACATTATAGATGACAAACATCTTGCAGTAGCATGTACGAACATGTTGGAAGAAGGTGGATAATTGTGAGTAGAGTTTTGAGCAATAAGTTTCCAAAACCACAAGCAACAAACTTCTTGGCATATAAATCAAGCAAACAATTGTAAAGTTGTGTATACTAATGCCTTTGCTTTATTGTTGTTCTTATTCACATGTTGACAACTACAATCATACTTCAACTATACTTGAGTATTTGCAATTGAATATCTTTTTATAATAGCATAATCTTAAAAAAGGCAAATAATTAGATATTTTTTAGAAGATTGGCTAATATAAGGTATTCACATTTTAGCTAGTGTAAAGTATTTGGAGTGAAGATCATGAATGCTTCTTAAATCAAGATCTCTAAAATAGCCATCTTATATATCAAATAAATTACAAGTAAGTCAAAGACTTGGTAATTTTTTAATTTAGATTTATTTGCATACATCTTTCTTCTCTTCTTTGTAGATTATATCACCTTTTATAAAAGCCTACTAAAATATTTGTAATTAGAGTCATATGATACTTTAAATCCAATTTTAAAAAAATACTTAATATTATATGTATCAATTGTTTGAATTATAATGATCAAGGTAGAAAATTCTTACTAGGACTCTTGGAGCAAGCTTTCTTTATGGCATAAGTACAACCTTTGTAATGCAACATCACCAATCAACATTTACACACATAGTGATAAGTCAGCTTTTATGATTAGGTTGTGAAAATTATTTCTACAATTGCTAATATAATATAAGTAAAAAAAAATGCATTCAAAATGGATAAGAGATTAAAAAGATTCACTTGCCTAAAAAAAACATTCTAGAACCTCAAATATAAGAGCAAGTGGATAGAATAACAATGTTTATTATAAAATATTTTTAAACATATGTGTCATTTAAGTTTGTTTAAGCAAAGCATTAGAATATTTTAAAGATGCTTAAATTGTCATTTTTTTTATCCTAAAGAATTCTATTACATTTAAATATTTCTTGATATCTTTGCTTTAGATATACAATCCAACTAAAACAAAACTTGTTGCATATATGATGTAGTGAACAAACACAAAATAATGACATGAAATAGAAAGTGTTCAAGCTACCATGCTAAATTATATGTATCAATTAGTTCTCTAAGACAAACCACACTCTCAAGACTCTCTTTCTTCATTCAATTACAAAAGCATGATTGTTTAGAATACAAGTGTCTTTAGACAATAGGACTATATCTTCTAAGATATACTTGAATATTAATTATATAATTACTTCACTAATTTGAAGTGATATTGCATCATTTTATAGTATCCTTGAAAATAGGCAAATCTAAAATTAAAGATACATTCATGCTATTGCATGCATTATCCTTCATTTGAATTGTATTATATAGTTTAAAGTTAATTTTTAAACATTCAATTAGTAACCAAATGTCATTGAGCTCCAATATCATTGGCTACATAAAAAAAGTAGGTACTAACGATAAACTTGTGAGGTCTCAATTATAATTTAAAATTTATTATTATTATTGTTTCTTATTTCATAGTAATTAAATAAGTTAAATTATGATTTATATAAGAAAAATCTATTTTTATAAAGTTTTGAGGGTTGTAACCTTTGATGGTATAAATCCTAGCCTAATTCCTTGAATAGAATTAATTAGAATCAAAGCGATAAGATTTAGAAAATTAAAATAGTAATTTAATTATTTTTAATGATTTAAAGGTTGTTAATCATTGCTATAAGTATTGATTGAGAGTCTATGAATTCACCTACAATCATCTCATATGATTTAGATGGAATTAGAATTATAATTTTTTAATAGATTCGAGTGAAAGTTCGTAGTGGCAATTTTGAAGTTTTCTTCCAAATTAAAAAATCTAAGTGACAAAGGAGCTTTTTTAATTAATAAAAGTCTTTTATATTCAATGGCAGTATTAGATTCATTTTGTGGAGTGAAGAAAACAAGATCAACACCCTCTCTACCAAAATACAAGTAGAGCCATGAAGATGTTATTTTTGAAGGAGTTTTCAATAATTGCTTAAAACTTTGGATTGAGTTTTTCAACCATACTTGAGTATTTGCAATTGAAATCCAAATTTTGGCTTCAAAACCTAATTCTAATTTCATTTGGATTTTAGATCTGTTTGTGCACCTTGGGAATGTGTGGAAACATTGATTTTGTGTGTAGGTGGTGCTTGTTGTGGTTTAGAATGCACTCCATTGGAATTAGTCGTTTCCAAATACTTCAATAGTCAAAGAGGTTTAAAGGGCTTCGGATTTTCCTCAATAAGTCTGTATTTTTTATGATTTTAAAAGTGAATTTTTTTTTTAACACATACCTCTTGTTGTCAACTTTCCAATGAGCTAAAGTTCGCTTGATTTGGAGCTAGAAATATTTTTTGGTGAATTGTTGAGTATGAGGGGATTGAAGGGACATTTCTCGTAGCTCAAGTATTGAATTGCTATGAAGAGTTTTGGAGCAAGAGCATCTTTAAGTCAAGTTCTCAATCAAACAAAAATCATTAGATTTAAAGCTGATCCAAATTTTTGGAAAATTTTGGAATAGAAGGAAGTCTACTACCCTTAAGTGGAGCATGGTTGAGGTTAGTTCTTTCCATCTTTACTTTGTTTTTTTTCTTTTTATTCTTCACCTTCCGACTTTTGACTTAACCTTAAATCAACTTTTAATTTCAAATTTTTAACTTTCAATTTATTTTAATTTTTTCTTACTTTTATTTTTATCTTTTAAAATACTTTTACAACATTAATAATTAAACACTATTACAAAAAAACAAAACAAAAAAAAACTTCCATGCATTGGCATACATTAGTGGAAAAAAAAAATGAACATTTAAAAGTTCCACAGACATGCAAAAAACAAACAAACAATCAAACAAACGAAAAAAAAACATTTTGATTATTGCACACACACACACAAAACATTGACTCTAACTGCAACATCTGTCGGTAATCCATTGTCCAACACCTCCAAAACACACTCTCACTCTTCCACACACAAAAACATTAGCAATGACGTCCTACGGCGTCATAGAAGAGTGAAAGTTTATTCAAAACTGAGCTGGCAAAATCCAAAAAGGGGGAGAGGGTGAGAGTTGGTGCAAGTTGGCAATTCCCCCTCATTTCTGCAACGGACAAGTGTGTTACTGCTAGGCTTGTATTAGTCAAAGCCTCTGTGTGAGGGCACACAGAAACGGCTCTGAAGGAGAGGGCTCGGTTGATAATGAACCCCGTTTGTCTGGGTTCAATCCAGTGATTGCGACGCGAAAGGCGATGTCTTTCCATCATCTGGACGAAGAATCCCCACCAGCCCGGGAACCCAACAAGTCAAATTCGAGTCTTGCTGCAAGAAATCCGCGAGACGACTGGTGCCCTAGAGGAAGGGAACAAAACAAATACCACGGTAAAATATCATAGTTCGGGAGGGGTAAGATGGGAGTGAAAAGATAAAGCGATGATTGTGGTGGTTAACGAGATTGTGATGTGCCCAAAGATGGTCTTTTGATGAGGAAGGAGATCGACAAAGATTTTTTGTCTGACGAGGTCCTGCTTCACTTCGCGCTTTGTTTGTTAAATTGCAGTTTTCCCAGATCCTGTGCGTTGTTCAGTCCATGGGGTGTCGCCCCCTCGGATTAGTTTCGGAGGATCATTCCTTTTGGTACAAGCTCGCTGCTCTGTGTTGTGGAATTTAAACCGCTTAACTGGATGATGTGGATGGGTGTGGTGGTGCACAACAGGGCAGAAAAAGCGGTGGAAGCAAGAGGGAGGGAGGGAGGGAGGGAGGGAGGGAGGGAGATGGAGTGCCTGATTGCTGTGGAAAGGGTGAGTGTTGGTAGTGGTGATGATCTGAAGTGGAAAATTTCATGGTTGTGAGGTGTTTTAGAGGAGACGAGGTTGTGAGTGTTGTTGGGATTCGGCAACGGCAGTGTGAAGTGGCGGTGTTGAAGTTGTAGAGGTCTGGAGGTGAGCGACCCGTTGGGAAATATATCTGGTTCTGTTTTCTGTATCGAAGTGTTGGTTTGGTTCTGGTATTTTGAGTCATTTTGTTAGAGATTTGAGAGGCGTGGGCTCTTGGATCGGAAACATTAGTGGGAAGAGCGAGTTAATGCACTTGGCTGTGGCGCGTTTGATGGACTCTGTGTTCAGAGGTTAATAGGATTGTCAAGCATTTTCAGACTCTTGAATGAGCAGAGGATCACGGGTCGGATTTTTGCAGTTGTTGGTTGTTAAGGTTCTCATGTCTGACAGGTGTGAATTCTCTACCTTGACGCAGTAGACTTCTTCACTCTCTAGCTGGAACGGTCCGAGTGGTGAGCGATTTGGTGCAGTGGCGGAGTCGGATCACCTTTGCAAGCTACCGTTATGGGCTGTCTTCACTCCAAGCACCATAAACTGCCTCCGGGTTACGAAAATCCTCAAATTCTCGCTAGCGAAACTGCTTGTGAGCCTGCCCTCCCCTTTATCCTCTCATTTCGTCGCGACAGTTGTATGGAATATGGAGTGCTACCAATCCTCGGGGATCCCGTCAGTTGACGTAGGGGATAAGTTTTTGCTGAATTCTGCACAAAGATCTATTGGGACTGGACAGAATGGTATCCCTAGAATACTCAACCCATCGCCCGAATGTGAAGTCAAGCATGATGATAACCAGGAATAATCGTTGTTTAAATTGGAAGGCTACTACTGTTGGAATAATACAATGGTATGTGTGTGTGTGTGTGAGACAGTTAATGTGAGCGAAGTAGAGGCGTTGTAAGAACTCTTCAAGAAAATAAGCAGTTCAGTCACTGACGACGGTCTTATTCACAAGTTTTTAGTTCCGAAACTCCTCTTCCAAACCCACGCTCTACTTGGCTTTGATTTGATGGTTGTATCCCTCTGTCGCAATCCTCGTCGTCGAGATTGGACAACCGCAACATGAAGCCACTGGAACAGAATTAGGAATTCAGAAACTTTGATGCTCATTCAGTGAACTGCTTCTAAAGGAAAATATATTATGATCAAGAGTGTGGGTAAGTCATGTTCGTACCTTGGAACTGTGGATGCAGCTGCATGACCCACCATTACTCAGTATAGCAGTCTCCTTTACCACAATTAATGTGCCATTAGAGGTTGCAAATCTTTTGCAGGTTTCGTGCAGCCACGAGTATCGAAATTGTCACATGTTTTGCTTATTCGTTCTTTAGTGAAGAGACCTAATTGGGATACTATTTGGATTGAACCAATCGGTTGGATTGTGTTTTGACTTCTTGTCTTGGTCTTCCTGATTTTGATCAGGCAGAATGTCAGCTTGCACTCTTCAAAAACCGCAAGAAAGAGAATCTTTTTGCTGACAGGGTAATCATCTAGTCTTTTGTATTTGGTGCTCTGATGCAGATGGTATTGATCTGGCCTAAAGCAAGTTCATTGTTCGGATTTTCTGTAATACACTAGGTTATGTTGGAAGGATCAAATTACCAAGTGCAAACTTCGAATGCACTACAAGAAACTTTCGCTTTAGATCGTCACTTCGAAGCTCTAAGTCCTATTTCATCCTTTTGGTTCCGACTAATTTCGATGCGTAGTTTATTTAGAAGACGAATTAGTAGTTATACTTGTTCGATCCTGTCTTATTTTTAGCCTTAACTGTGTTTTTTTGGTTGCATCTCTTAAATGTCAGGTTTTTGATTTGTTCGACTTGAAGCAAAACGGAGTAATTGAATTTGGTGAATTCGTACGCTCTCTCAGTGTTTTTCATCCCAATGCATCTCTTGAAGAGAAAATCAATTGTAAGCCTCCAAATTTTTAACAGTTCTGAACTAACTCGGAATTGCGGGTTCAGCTTAGTGTTTTTTACAGTTCCGATGGCGTCCTATTGTAATCCTTAGATAGATCTCTGAACTTTACAAGGTTAACTCCTTTGGTAATATTGCAGTTTCTTTTCAACTCTACGATTTGCGGAAAACGGGCTACATTGAGCGTGACGAGGTATCTTATTTGATGTTTGCTTGGATCTTTCCTGCATACTTATTCCTCCAGGGCAAACAGTTTTAAGTAAATTTGCAGCTCACTTTTGTTGAGGGCTTATATTAGGAAGAATCTGTAGATATGTCTCTGAAGTTTGACAAAGGTCTTTGGTTTGGCAGGTGAAGGAAATGGTGATAGCACTGCTGTCGGAGTCCGATATGAAATTATCTGACGATATAATCGAGACCATTCTGGACAAAGTGAGGGGCTCATTGACTTGTGCATTTATCGTGCATATCAGGAAGCTGCTGAAGGATTTTGGAATATAGAAGTATCTCACTAGTTCCATTCTAAAGCTGAAATTTTCATCTCTTGTTTTGGCAGATTTTTAAGGAGGCTGAAACTAAGCAGGATGAACGGATCGATAAGGGCGAGTGGAACAGCCTTGTTGTGCGACATCCCTCTCTTATGAAAAATATGACGCTGCCTTATCTTAGGTAATCCACCTTACCCAATCCTGAGTTCTGAATTTGTAAGAGTTGTTTGTAAAATGTTGGTTTGTGAGTGGTGTATACCGTGCCCAGTCTTTTCATGTACCAAAGTAAGCTATGAGCTGCATCAGGTTGCTCTTTGTTGGAACTCATCTTGGATGCACTGACACTTTTTTTGTTTTGTTTGGCAGGGACATCACCACCACTTTCCCAAGCTTTGTATTCCACTCAGAAGTGGAGGACGCAAGTTCATAATATTGTTGTATTTGGGAATTTAAGATGGAGAAAGTCAGCAGTGGATCGTCTTTGGATCTTTAAGCTTGAAATGCTAGTTCATAGAGCAGACTTGACCACCGCTAATAGAGCGTTGGCTAATCTGATTATACAGTTGGATTCTGATGGTGAGGGCTTTCAGAGCATTTTTCTTTCAAGGCTCTCAGATCTCACAAGTGGAAATAATAAATTATCAGGTGTAATCTTAGTGAGATCCTTGTTTAAAAGATCAATATCAAGTAACTCGGAAACGCTTAAGACATTGTACAGGTAGTGAGAATTACTTGTATCGGACAATTTATGAAGGTTTGTAACATAGATCAAACATTCAATGTTTTATTCATGCTTAGAAATCGATGACATTACTGTTGCACCATAATTGCATTTTACAACAAAGTATTTTTTCCCATGTTCACTATAACTTTGAATGTGATTGGTTTTATTTTCTCTTAGAAAACCGCAGTCATGTACTACAGGTCTGCGAGATGCTTCAATCCTGCTTGGCTTGAAGTCATTCATCGTCAGTGAATACTTTGACTCTTTCTTTAAAGTGCCTCTTCAGTAAATCCGAGTCCCTTCTAAAATTCATCATCAGTATTTCCATGTCAAAATTAGTGTCATCAGCAACCTTGATGTGGTTGCAGCAATTCAGTTCTAGTCTATGCGTCAGTATTAGGATTCTAACGTAGCAACTTTTATGCTTTCACGAAAACGAGTGATTACCGACTTCACCCACCCCGAAAACGGAAAATTTTCGCACTGCGAGTGTCAAACACCACTACAATATGAAACCCTCACTATAATTCAGGAAAGGGACGTCATATGTGCAGGTCACACAATGCTACACAATTGTTGATAGAGTCGAAGATCAAAGACTGAATTAATCGTCACATTAGGAATTACATGTCCTGAACGCTGAGTTGTATATCATGAATGACAAAGGAAGAAGCCTCCTGTTCGATCTAATAATGCAGGTCAGGCACATCTAATTGTTTCTGAGATGTAATGTAAATCTGGAATCGTGCTTCTAGTTTGGGAGCTGATGCTGTTAAACTTTTACATATAAGAAAATGAGAGTTGTCTTTATTGTAACATAGAGATGGTATATATACAATGTAATTCATTATATTTGAAGTACTTTCAATGGTGAGTTCTCTTGTTGTTCTTGTTTTACCGTGTTGTATTTCTCGTTTTGTTTTTATTCAACCATGCTATTGTTGGTCCAGAGTGAACTGCTCTTGCTAGTTGTTTGGTTTTTGGTGACGCTTTTACTAAGATGTTATGATTACATTCTTAATCATATGTATTATTTATTATGTGAGTCTTTGGAGCGACTTGAAGATCCTAACTTTCAAAATTGAGCAGAACTCTTCTTGTGGTACAAACTCCAACCCTGAAAAACATAATGTATGTTCTAATACACTTCTTCCTTTGCTAAAAATTGATGCTAGTTTTATAAGAAAAGAGATTCGAAGCTGACTACTACGAGTTAATAACCCCTTTTTACTAATAAGACTACATGGGTTAAGCAGAAGTTGAAGGAAAGAGATAGAAGCTATAGATTAGTGGAGTATTTTGGTGTTTATCAAAATTGATACTCCAAGCTATCGACAGAGTATAATAGCTCAAGATATTCCATCCAGACATTTATTATGTAGATTTAGATACAAATTCCAATTATTTATGATAGTTTGTAGTGAAGATATAAAAAAGATTACTATTTAGATGTATTGTCTTCAAATATAGATAACAGTCTCTTGTGAGCACCTGATGTAGACTTCAAATATAAAAATGAGTCAATCCCATCTTTTTTGTCAATCTTGTATGTCACATTTTATTGATTGGTTTGATCAATAAATTTGCCAATTGTTCTTCAGTTTGAATATATAAAACTTTTATTTCACCAATTTGTACTTCTTTTTTAATGAAATGAAATTGCATCTCAATATGTTTAGTTTTTCCGTGCAATATTAGGTTAGATACCAATTTAATGCATTCTTGATTGTCATTCATAATAGATGTTGTTTCTTTAGTTTGTATATATAAATCATTGAATAATCTCCTTAATTATATAATGTCCTCAACTACTTCAGATAAGATACAATATTCAGCCTTAATAGTAGATAATGTAATAGTATTTTGTAATTTTGAATTCTAATCAAGAGGTGAATTTCCAATCATCTATAGAAGTCCTAAAGTGGATCTCCTCAAATCAACATTGCATCTTCAATCAACATCAACGTGAGTTAATAGATCTTTAAGCTTCTCTTTTGGATAGTGTATTCTTAGATTAACAATTCTTTTTAAATATTTCAATATTCACATTTTTTCTTTCTAATAGAATTTCTATAGAGATTTACAATACTTGCTAATATTACTAACTATGAAGTTTATGTCAGGTCTTCTAACATTTGAGAGAGATAAAAGACTTTCAATAAGTCTTCAATATTTGATTTCATCAACCAATTTACCTCCCATTTTATTTTGAAGTTTTAATCCTTCATTCATTGAAGTTGCATAAGAGTTGCAATTGGACAGCTCAAATTTGTCAAGAACAATATTCACATAATTTTTCTAATGCACAATTATATTATGTTCAAAATGTTCAAACTCTACACCCAAATAAGTTTGAACCTTTTCAATACTTGTTATTTTAAATTCTACTTGTAATTATTTTTCAACTTCAATTATTTCTTTTGTATCATTTTTATAATAATTAAATCATCAATATATAAAATTAAAAGAATGTAAAAGTTTTGATGATAAGAAATATAAAGGTTTGAATCTGCAATTGATTTTTTTAATAAAATCTTTTGTAGATACTCATCAATTCTTCCATACTTAGCATGAAAAAACTTTTAAAGGCCATACATAGCTCATTTGAGTCTTCACACCTTTTTATTATTTTTTTATTCTTCAAATTTAAGTAATATTCTCATATATATCTCTTTTTTTTAGAATATCATTTTAAAAAGTAATTTTAACATCATATTGTTTTATTTTCCATTTGTAAGATGTTGTGACTATTCTAATAATATTCCATCTTATAATAGAAGTGAAGATTTCAAAAAAATCTTCTCCCTCTTGATATTCAAAGCCACAAGCAACTTATTGAGATTTATATTTTTTTAATTTTATCTTCTATTCTAATCTTTCTTTTGAAAATCTACTTGTATATGTTGAATTTCTTTTTTATTGGTAAATCATATATTTCTCATATATTGTTTCTATTAATGCTTTTGATTTCTTGTTCTATAGTCTCTTTCCACTTCTTATTTTTGCATGCTTCAATGTCTTCTAATTCTTTATTTTAAATTTCTTGTTCTTCTATTGAGCTTACATCATCTTCTTTTGAATTGTTTATTAATCTTCAGAATATATCTTTAGATTCTTCTTCATTGTGATTTGTTTCAATATTTTGATAACCAATCTTGGATTCATCAAAAATTATATTTTTATTAATAATGATCTTTCTTTTTGTAGGATCATAAATACAATATGCTTGCTACTGAAGTCATAGCTAATGAATATGCATTTTTTTGTCTTACTTTCAAGCTTTGATTTTTGTTTTTTCAAAAAATAAAGATAAGTGATACAACAAAAAATCTTTCAAGTGTTATATTTTAGGTTTTTTTTTGTAGTATAATTTAAAAGAATACTTTTTATTATTATCACTTATAGGATATAGATTCACTAGGTAGTTTATAGTATTAAATCCTTCAAGCCATAGATTAGATGGTAACTTATTGTCATATAAAAGACTTCTGCCTTTTTCTACAATTATTTTGTTGTGCCTCTCAACATCATTTTGTTGAGAAGTTAGTACTTGTGTTAACCATCTTCTTATTCCATTCTTCTCACAAAAGTCTTGAAACTTTTGTAATAAAAATTCTCTACTTTTATTTTTTTTCAAAGACAATAACTTTTGACATGTTTCCTTTTCTACTTGTATTTTAAATATGCAAAACTTCAAAAAAAAACTTCTTCTTTGGACCTTAGAAAGTAAATCTAATTCCTTTTAGAGTAATTATCAATAAATACAATAAAGTATTTTTTCCCATTTAATGATGGTTTAAATATAGATCCTACTAGGTTAGCATAGATTAGTTGTAGAACCTTCTTGGATCTATTGATACTATACTTAGAAAATTTCTTCCTATATTGATAACTAGTAGCACATGTTTTACATACTTCTATGGAAATAACTTCAATATAAAGTAATCTTTTGACTCTTCTAATTACACAAAGTTGTTTTAAACTTAAATATGATATATGCCCAAGTCAATTATGCCATAGCTTAGATTTTTCTATGATGGTAGAATTCACCTTAGGCATAGCTTGATTAAGATGATATAATTTATTTTTTGGTTCTTGATATCCAATAACGATAACATATTATTTTCTTTTTTTTATCTATAATCCAATATTTATTAAGTAAAAATATAACAATGTTGCCTTCATCTGCAAGAAAGTCTATTGACAATAAATTCTTCTTTAGTGAAGGTACAAATAGTACATTGTTCATCTTCTTTGACTTTCCATTGTTGGTTTCAATAAAACATGTCTCCTTGTCCAAATGTAGTATGTGGTTTTTCTACTACAACTTTGACTTTATGAAAGTGTGTTGATGTTTTGATTGATTTTAATGCCGATTTATTGCTTATAACATGTTCTAAGTCGCTACTATCAAAATACCAATTGGAATCTTATTTTCTTCCTTTCACAATTTCTATAAGATTAGCTTCAACATCCTTGAAAGTTTCCTCTTACTTAGAGTTAGAAGAAGTGTCTTTAGTTTCAATAATGCCAATAAGTATGTTAATATTTGATGGTGATTTTCTGAACTTACAATTCTTAGTTATATGGTTTGGCTTTTTGCAAACAAACAATAGATTGGACAAGCTTCTTCCTCAATTTGAGAATTTCTTATTATTCTTCTTTCTCTCAAGAAAGTTCATCTTTCTTTGCAAGATAAGTAATTTGACCTTCTTCTTGTATATCTTGTATTGAATTCTCTTCTTGAAGTTTGTAAAGATAAAGCCTCACTTTCAAAATTGTCAATTGAGTTTGCTCTTAATTATACCTTGTAAGCTTTTGAAATAAGTTTTGATGATATATTTTCAAAACTTGAAAATTGATCCATTGAGATTAGGTTGTATATCAAGCTATCAAAGAAAGATGGTAAATCATTCAACATAGTTTACTTAAGAGTCTTAATTGGAACTTTTTCACCAAGTGGTGCAAGTTGGTTCTTGATTTCTTGTACAATCCTCAAGAACTCTTCTATGGATGTAAACTTTTGAAACTTTAACATATTAACTTATAGTTAAGGTTGAATACTATAGTAGGGTCTCTACTTTTGTATTTTCACTGTAATGCCATCCATGCTTTTGTAAGGTCTTTGTGTTCTATCACTATATCCATAAGAATATCCTTTATATCAAAAGTGAGGATTTTGATAGCTTTTGATTTCATTTCTTATAGTTGTATTTCTAACAATGTGTGTCTATTATATGTGCATAGAAATACTATTAGAGTAAACTTAATAGAAAGGTCCCAAAAACTTTTAGCTTGCAAGAAAGTTTTCATCTTCAAGCTCTACATGTAATAATTCTTTTTTCCAACTAGTTTGTTGGCCTCATAACTTGCAAAGGATCACTTAACATCTTTAAACAAAGACCATTCAACTCTTTATACTCAATGTATTTACTTCTCAAGCAACTCAAATCAAAGGTAACTCCTGTAAACTCTCAATGCTCGCTTTGATACCAAGTTTAACTTTAACACATAAGAAAATGAAAGTTGTCTTTATTGTAACATAGAGATGGTGCATATACAATATAATTTGTTATATTTGAAGAACTTTTTGAATGATTTTATTTCAACAATCTGTTTGAGGTATGCTTCGAGCATAACGTCTTGATATTCTCTATGTACTTTGATACCCTTACTTCGTCCTCATATGAGAGGGTATTGGAGGGTCTCATGCCAGTAAGAGGGAAACCCTAGGCGCTCCCCTTTCATTCGCCAATAGATGCAACTTCTTCTGATGATGTTTAGAAGACGTCGATAATTACCAGAATTGTTTTCTGCAGTCTGGAGTTGGGGAGGTGGGTGCATCACAGAAATGTTTCGATAACTCTGATGACGCAACCAACCCCCGCAAGGTTGAGGTTTGTTGCATGAAAATTCAGCTTGGAAAGAAAAATTCGATAGAGAAGTCAACTAATCCCGACTAAGTTAAATAATCCCGAATAATTCATATAATCCCGACCAAGGCAAGCTCATTTCAATCCTTCATTCTATATAAAAGATACTTGCACAGAAGCTTCGCAGGTTCCAGTTGTCTGCTATGATGTTTCTCCCTCACGTTTGTCAACAACAGTCGGTATCGACTGCATCCCACCAGCCGACTGTGAAGCTCGACGAATTCCGGTTTCAGGTACAGGATTGTAAGTCGAGCACAAATTGAGGAATGCTCTGCCCGTAGATTGACTTCTTTACTGACTAGCTAACACCTGCAGGCCTGCGCTTTGGCGATTTTGCAACCAGTTTTTGCACACACTTTGCAAAGTTCTGATCGTTCCTCGCACGATGCAGTCTCCGGAGATAGTTGCAACATCACAGACTTGTGTGGAAAATCAGACTTATAACGTTAACGTCGATATTCTGCCGCCGGTCCGATGCCATGACAGCGTGACAAGTTGTCTAAATAAAACACTTCATTCGATTTTTTTTTCTTAGTAATCTTCCTTTCAACAGGTACCCTCTGGTGGTGGACACTAATAATCGTAGATAGTTGCCACAATGAGCCAGTTATTTCGCTACAGACAGTGAGTATTCGCGACATAGCCGTCTACCAGAACACCACCGTTGGCGCCCGGGACTCCGAGTGGCTGGTGAGCAGCGACTTCAACCTGACGCTCTCGACAAGGAGTAACAACCCGGAGGCGAAATGCTTCGCCATGTTTCGGGAAATGGTTGTGGCCGTCAGGTACAGGGGCGATCTCATTCTGAGACAAGAAGTATCAGTGGGATTCTCCTTGAAGCCGAAGGGGAAAAGGGTATTGTCGGTGGCGGTGAAGGGGGAGCAAGCCCCGCTGCGGCAACAGATAGGGCCGGTCCTGGAGGCAGAGTTGCGGAGCATGGCCGTTGTGGAGTTTTACTTCGACACTCGGTACTTGATCGCGGACAGGAGTTCCAAGTGGAAACGCTTTGGGTGCCAGGTGAAGGCAACGACGCTGCAGACGAGCTCGGGGGCGGGCAGATTGCTGAGCCGTTTGACTAACTAGTCACCAATGTGTTCTGGCTGGGTCGATCCCCTTCCCCTTGCTATTATGAGACCTCTGAGCCCGCGTATCATTTGCCGGATGATGTGAAGCGGCTACTTCCCGTGGTTGCCTTACTTTCGTGTTTTTTTCTCTTACCTTAAACTACTGGAGGCCCTGACTAAGATCCTTGCGGACTTGCTTGATTGCTCAGGCTCACCAATTAAACCTCCTCCGCTTGGGAATGCAACAGGTGACACGCGCTTGGAGGATGGCGAATGCACCAGTAGTATGTGGCCGAGGAGAAGCGAAGTGAACCAACTGAGGAAGTGCGTGATATTTGTTTCGGTCAAAGCCAGTGGTAACCGTTCTTTTGGATGCATTGAATGTTACTGAACTCTACTCTCCAATTTGCACCTCTCCGTGCCAAACACGTTCAAGCAATTGGTCGCTGCAGACATTTGCGAGTACTTTGGATCGGGTATTTGGGTACTTCAAAGAACAGACACAGTGGTGAGAAATTGGGTCGAGAGAAGGAAAACAAATTATGCCAAGTTTCTATTTCCTCTAACTACATGGTAGAAAAATGTTTCAATGTATCAACTTCAAAGTTTCACTTTGTTGTGGCGTTTATAATACCTCCATCTCATGATAAATGCTTTAGAAAGGGTATTGCACGTTTGTAACTAAAACCATGGAGCAAAAGTCATATACATTGAAGCCAGCTAGTTATTTCCAGTTAGATACTTTTCCTTTTAGGTTTGGTTTGTTATGCAAACTCAAGATGACGTAGCAGTGGAATTGCGGATGAAACCAACCCTTTTGTGCTTGTAAACATTTCTTGTGTTAAATATTGCCAATCTTGAATGGTTCATGAATTTAAACTGAGAACGAAAGGTTATAATTGCTTTGAAATAAATTACTAAAGTCGCTGCTTTCATTATGAGATATAATATCTAAACACCAGTTGGCCCACTGAGCAAATGATCTACTTACAACACGCCTGCCGACCAACAAACAATGGGCATCGAATGTCAACAACGAGGCTGCAAGAGCCAAGCCAATGCTATAGTTTGAACCATTTCTTATTTTCAGCCCTCTTAGCCAACTCCTCGGCTATGGATGCAAAATCTCCAGCTCCTTCTGCCAATTCTTCAGACTGCTTATCTAAGGCCTGCAAGTAGTAATTGCATTTACATGAGAATTCTAAATTATATGCACCTGATGCAGCAATGAGATACAGCACAAATTCAGGAGAAAGATAATAAATTCTCCAAAATGGAAAATCACAAGCTTTAGAATACACATCTGTTCATAATGTTGGCGATTTCCAAACAACAGTTTTTGCAGATGTCCGATCCAAACTGACAAGAGCGTTCCATCCTAGATATTTCAAAACCCTTCCTTGATGAAACCAAGAATTACCTGGAGCTTTTCTTGGCGCTCAATCAACTTATCTTTGTTCATGGCAGCAATACTCGCAGTGTCCTGGACAGACAAAAATCACTATTTTATTAAGAATGAACAATATTATTAAATTTGTAGCTGCGTGTTGCAACAAAACATGACAAAAGATGACGAAGATGATGTTCAGAATCACGGGGATTCGTAAAACGAACTTGCTGGATAGTGTTCTTACTTGAAAGGGTTTTGGGTAATGTACACAAATTAGGCACATCCGACAAAATTTAAGTTTTCGGTTCCAGCCAAAGAAGCTCATTAATACCCCTTAACCTGATCAAAAGCTGCATTTCTACCTTTTCAACGCAGACATCTAGTTGAGAGAATTAGAACCGTTACCGTGTTAGGTTTATGCCCATATGCTAATTTTATTGAATCAGCAGATCGCAAACGAGGCGATATTTCGTTCTGCTTCTCATTGAGAAGTTGTGATCTGATCTCAGCGTCCTTGTTTTTCGCTTTGCCTACTGATACCCGTACCACATCCAATTGTATCATAGATCAGAAGCTAGAAAGTGACAATCAAGTAGTCCGTGAGTGATCTATTATATTGATGGCAGAACTGTGTCGAATATGGCACCACCTCATCCTGTAAGCAGTAAAGAGAACAGAATTTCTAATTATCCCATTATTTTTGAATGATCTGCTCTTGCGTTATTCTGACCTTTGCAAGTGGATAGTACCTTTCAAACCTCGTTTCAACTTGTTGACAAGCTTTTCCTTCCTCTCCATGCTCGTCTTAGGCGAACTTGCATTAAGTTCATCAGAATCCCCCTCGGTGTCATCTGCAAAAATTGCAAGGACAGCAGTTAAGGCGTAAAAATTACAAACCTGGCTAAGGAAGCTTCGCGGCTTTCAAGACCATAACAGCTCACTTAAGCAAGCCTTACTGAAATGAAGGCCTGAGTTTAGATGATTCTTACTTGGGGTTTCGGTAGTCCTGTGTTCCTACATTCACAATGTACACCGGAAATTAGGCAACAGGTGTACACAAGCTTGATTACCCCACTATTTACTTGCAACAGCTTCAGATTTGTACGTGATAACAGGTATGATACGATGAACCAAGAAGATATCAAGAGAATACATCAAATACACCTGCACTGCTACTGCAGTTTATCGCAGATGCTTCCCACACATCGGAATGAAGGGACACTTAAATGGTAGGAGGCGCAGGTAATTGGTGACTACTCGCATACAGTTATGAGAAATTACTACTGTGGAATCTGAAACGATTGGAAATAAGTAGAGGAAAAACTGCTGCACACCTCATATCCGTCTCGTAAAACTTAAATTGAAACTAACAGCTTTGAAAGAGTCAAATGCTGAGGACGGAATCGAAGTGCATAATGAGCCACATATTGACTGTCTCAAATTGTATTTGCACCTTAACCAAGGTAATTCACAAGCTCCGTCTGCAACCGAATGATTGATCGAGACAGCATTGTCGTCCACGGATCGACAGAAAAAAAATAAAAAAATAAATAACCCAGGATTCTTCGGGGAAACACAAGCAATCACTACCGAACAATATAAAAAAGCAGGAATGAGAAGGAAGACCTCAGGAGAATGTTTCGCCTTATGAATTAGCCCCATGAGAGCTTTGCCGCCTTTTGTCGCAGCAATGTTGACTTTGTCCTGCATGATGATTGACTGCCTTCCACCTCTCAGTCTTCTTTCAATCAAGTACCTCGTGATTCTTTCTGAGTAACCTCTTGACCCGCTAACATAACAATTGTTTACTCATCAGCCCCAAGTTTGTATGTAGCTTTATCCGGAAGCAAAAAGGAAATGTACCGAATACAGAGCACTTCAAAGCGTCCACGCCACGGCCTGAACGAAAGAAGAAGCTGAGCAGCACGAAATCATTCCAGTTTTAACAAACACCGAGCAATTCCTCTTACACTCGCGATGGCACCAGATCCAACAATGCGCCTCTTCTTCTGACAAACCTCGCCTCTTCACAAATCCCACACAGATATTCTCACATCCCTCAATGCGAACATCCACTACATATCCCTCGCTCCATCACTTCACGTTTCTCATCCATGACTCAAATCGCACAAACACGAACAAATACACAATTCAAGTAAAAACTCTACACTCGCTTCCATCTGCAGGAACACACGATCTTCCTGATCCACGAAAAACGCACCACCTCTACCTCCTAAAACGACACAAGGCCACCTAATGACATCGACAACACACGCAAACTACAAACTCACGTACAACCAAGTCCCTTCAGACAATGTACCTGATCTTCCCGAAACGCAGAGGGAAGAAAATAAAAAATAATAATAAAATAAAATAAAAATACCTAGTGAGGTCGATACTGCACCATAAAAATTGAGAGCACTCTCAATCTACTGCAATTGAGCGTCCTTCTTCAATCGCAATAGCATAAACACAATCCCGCAGACCTCGTTAAGGCGATCGGAAGCACACAACACAACGGCGGACTCGGCTTCGGTGAAGATATTTGACCCCCCGCTCACGTATACCTTCACTGTTCCCTCAAATTGTCAAGCCATTCTGCGTGCTTGAGGGCTGAGGGGCCGTGATTCGACCCTCTGACCCCACTAGATCGGAGGGCTGGATAACAGCCACTTGTTGCCACCGGAGTGGGTGTGACCCGAGGCCGATTGATGACGTATCCTAGGGTGTTTGTATTCACACGTGGGTCTCGAAAAAGAGTTATTGCGGGGAGGAGGAGAATGAATCCAAAAAGATGGTTTAGGTTATGCTACTAATCCGGTGAATATGACACATGGTTGGTTTGGTTTGTATAATATCATCGCGTTCTAGAAAGGAAGAAGTTAATATTTCAAAATTAAAAAAAACTTGTGTCTTTTTTATTTTTAGGAAGCAGTCATTGCTAGAACCATGGAATTGAAGAAAATTTGAGATTTGATCCTCATCATTGATATTATAGTTGGTCAGTTTACAGTGTAGGTAATAGAACTATATATATATATATATATACTTAGTCAAATTTGGAATGAATTGTTACAATGCAGCCATAAAACAATTATCAACTATATCTAGTTTACACATTTAGTCGAAGTTAAAGGAAAATTCTATTTCATCTTTACCATCTTCTCCTCCTCTCCCCCTTCTGTAGTTCAACTGATTTTTTTTCAAGTGTGGAGAAACTCAGAAGTGTTTTTTTAAGAGGTTTTATTCAGACAATTATAAAACTTAAGTTAATTTAGAACAATTGAAGAGAAAAACTTCAATTTTCGTGTTGTTCTCCCTAGAGTCAGGTATGGAAAAAAGATGTACATTATTCACTTTGGTGAAAAGAACTCACTTTCAAGATAAAATAATAAAAAATTCAATGTAAACAATGAAATCAACAAATTGTGTTGTCAGGACCCCACTAACTGACCAGTTCTATTTTTTTCAGCACTGATTCTGGGATTTACTGTCTGCCCTGGATATCCATCATTTGGAACAGCATGGCTTTGAACAACAAAAGTCAGTGCATTGTATCCATTCTGTTAATTTAAACAAATAGAGCGCAAATTACCATGGGATCGCACGAATTCTATGGTAAGAGTAACAGGGCCTACACAGGAACCCAAGATGATAGGGTTCTGCCAATGTGTGGGACATTTGTGGAGTAAAATGACGATAATTCTTACACTCAGTTACAGCCGTCATCGCAGAAACTTTTACATCTTAACCAAAACCATGATTCTACGACCTGAAGTGGATTCCTACTTATCTGTGACAAGATATGCTTGCAGTCAAAAACTGCACTTCACGTGCCACAATGAACACCAACATCAATGAAGAGCACTGGACGTTTTAATACACAGTAGATAAAATATGCTCTGCTTAAATTTGTCAGGGTCTCGCCAAACTATCTAATACCAGGATCAAACAAATGTACATGCTGTTTGACATCTGACAAGTATACTGCTTCAGAGAGTAGAAAAAATTGGACACAACGATTTTACCTCACCAATACCTCCTGCTCACAAACTTGCTCCACACAATCACCTAGACCAATTCCTACATAAAAACAATTTCAGCTACAGTTGAATCGTTCATACAATAGTCTCTCCAGTTTTATCAGCTATTTCAACAATCTATCCTCCATTCAAACAGGCAAGGGATCCTTCGAACACGTGTCATTCATGTGCAGCTCAGGCATCCGCTTAGTTGGATCGCAAAGCCCTGTTTACATCCAGTGCACAGATTAATTGTTTCGTCCGCTTCACACACAGCATCGTGCGAAGCTCAAACATTAAGTTTTAGAAGTGTTCATTTGACATTTACTCAGAGTATCGCACACTGAATGCTTGCAATTATTGATTTTATCACTACGATTGGGAGACGAATAGTAAGAGCAGTCAAGAAGTTGCTTGATTCCAAAAGCGAGTGCAAATCTTCTATAATGCTCTTGCTGCAGAAATGAACATCAAATAGACATGTACAGTCAAATAATACAAAAACGAATTGAAAATGCGGCCCTTGTGATGTACCGGAGCATTTTGGAAGATCCCAAACCGCTATTGACGTAGGTCCACACGCTGTTGCACAAATATCACGATTGTCTTCATGTTCCACATCCATGGCCAACATCCACGCACCTATAGTTACATCTTCATTCATGAACATGCGATACCTGCAACAACGACGCATTTTAAATATGAATACTATATTGAAGAGCATGGCTCAAACACACGCAGTTGCAGTGACGAAGATATCCGCAATATCTTCGCTACGTCCAGCTGAATTAGGTTGATAATTACAAATCTTACTTCAAACCAAGACCACCAACATCAGAGAGTTCATCCTAAACCAATGCATCAATGTTCACGTGGCAGCAGGGTACAGCAGGGTACAGCAGGTCTACGTAGTAACTATCTACTGCACTTTCAATTGAGTAGCGCCGTACATTTGATTCTTAGTAGCCGCAAAATTTGCCACGACTTCCCTAGATAACCCGTATATCGGTCCATACGCATGTAGAAAGTACTCACTTCCAATCATAAAAGCCTTGGGTTCATACCTGCATTTGTAACCAGTTGAAGGCAACACAATCATTCACTTGTCCATAAATAAGATCGAAACTCCAGATAATATTGACTTGCACAAGTGACATAATGGAACCATGTTCCGCAGATTATACTCGAACATTTACAAACGTCAGAGACTTATGAAGGAAAGGCACCATGTGTGAGTTGGATAAGGTTCAACATTGCAAAATGAAAATGAACAGTGTCAATGGAAAAGTAAGAACAGCAGTGTGCTCACCACTTATAACTAGGACTTGTGACAACTGGGCCCTTTTTCATGCACCCCAAGTAAGTCCTTGGGCTCTCTCTTGGTTTGGACAGCAAAGTGGCTAATCGATCTGTGGACAACGAACTCAAAAATCAGAAGATGAGAGCGATACTCAAAGTTAGAAACGACCAAAAGAGTATTGAGGCTACTCATAGACGAAGAAGACAGGCGCACCACAGCCCTACTGCTAGGAATCTCCATAAAGTACCATCAACAAGTCCTGAATAAATCTAAATACTCAAAGCATCACAAACCTGGGCGCAAATAAATATCATCATCTATCTTCATGTAAAATTCGGCATCAAACAGCGCATATGCTGTGCGAAAATAAGCTAGCCTGTTGAAGCAAGCAAATTGGAGCAAAAAAGTCAGTAAGATCTTTGCTGACTGGCAGAGGTGCATTTAGATCATACATTCACTTCAAAAGCTGTAGTGAAACAACGTATCCTACTAGTCATTTTACCTTGAAATCTTCTACATCTCAATTCAGATTCAAACAGCTCGAAAGGACAAGGGCGCTTTGATGCTTTGCAAATATGGTTCTGAACTTCGCTGTTGATTATTCTTCACAAGAGTCTTATCGACTCCAAGACTCTGAAAAGAACCCGCCATCTCACGAGTCTAAGCAACTACTTAAAAGACAAGTGGTATTTTGTACACTATTTAAACCACGAATATCCATTACAGACGGCAGTGCGGTATAGCCGTCCATGGACAATAACCAGAATGGGCCACTGGAGATCACGAACTGGTGATCGGATCAGATAGAATGCCTCCAACATAATCAAGGTAAGTGTAAAGTAAAAGAAAACCTACGTTTTAAGATTAAGCTTGTTGTACGTCTCTTCGGAGTCAATACACAGAAAATCCTTATGCTCCTCAGCCTCTTCTTCCAAAGCCTTCATCTTCCGAGAATCAGCTGTGTGGCCAATTACAAACCGGAATACCAATCCAGTGGACTTCTCCAAACTGCAGACAATGAAACGAGGCTCGGGTTGTCACCACATCACGTTCAATTCAATTTTTTCTGAGTGACACAAAGTAGCAGGTAAATAGATCTCGTGGCACTTCGTCAGGTAAGGTTGGTCTCCAGAGATCGTCAATGAAATTGGCAGACTCTAATGAGCGCACTCATAGCATGCCCCAGTTTTACATTTAAATGCTGAAGACGGAATCTGGAAATGTGCCGTTCTTTGGAACAATCACTCCAAGTGAAAAAAAACCAATCCAATCCCATATTTCACCCGCAACGTCAATTTAAGTACCTGGCAAGTTTTTCAGGAGTGGACGGAAACCACGTTTCTCGGAGCACCTTCCGCCGCGGACCCGAGTCGAAACCCGTGTTGATCCCAACAAATGCTAATACTTTCGGCCTAACGGACTCCTTCCGCTTGCCATCATCTATGAAATTCGTCAATCCGCTCCCAACACCGTCTTCCTGGCTGATAGCAATATATGATAAGCCATACCCCCGTCTCCCTTTACCACTTCTACAAAAGATGGCTCCATCCCGCACCCCGTCAATCTGCAACAGTCCAAACCACACCAGCGACGTGATCACAACAACACCACACACCGCTGCATTGCTCCATCCACCACCCCGCAAACGGGCCGCCCGCACCCGCGATTTCTCCTCGACGACATAACCACTACTGCTCGTCGGCAACGGCGGAGCCGACGATTTCCGGATCGACACACCGAAGGGCAGCATATCAACGAACCGCTTCCTCAAGAATCACTCCCGGTTTCTGCTAGATCACGAACTGCACATCGCATCGGCCATAGTTGCTGTGACCATGGCTAATCACTACCAGGCCCTAAACCCTGCTTTCTCAAACACTAGAGAGCATCACTGCTCAAACTGGAGTAAAACTCCAGCATCGCCCTAACTTAGCAGACCGATCATAACACGGATGCAATCGTTAGACCAGCATCACGATGCTTGTGGCATCGTTGTGCGAGGCATTTCGCGGTGCGGGGCTGTCTGAGCGATGCTTGGATTCCGCCCATCAAGGCGCCGCGAGGGAGCTCAAGGCTTGGCTCCGAACAGGGTCCCGCGGAGGAGTAAGTCGCTTCGAAGAAGCTTCGTATTAGAGGCCAAGTCCCCTTTCACATTTGGATTCCTCCATCACGCCTCCATAGACCAAACCCCATTCACACTTGCTCATTACATATGGTGTGAAGACAACTGATACTCTGTTTGTAGTTTGGTTTTGTGACTTCTAAGTTTTATTAAATGTTCCATCTCTTGTTGGCTAATGCATAATATTGCGAATTGTCTCTTTGGTCATTAATGTTGTTCCATACATTTGTCATGTATAGTAGTAGAGTGTGTTTGTATTAGTGAAATTTATGAAGGTTTTGCTATAATTGGTGGTATTATATTAATATACAACTTTTAAAATACACTATATGTATAATTGTACAGTACATACAGTAAGTTAACAACCTGAAATATATGTTTATAGTTTTTGGCAAATCTGAAGATTTAAAAAGTAAAGACCATGATAAACACATATAAATTTATATGTGCTTAATAAGATAAACAAATAAATAAATAAATAAATAAATAAGTGAATCATGAAATATTTTGATTTAAAAAACAGATAAGTGCACTGAATTTACAACTTTATTTGAAATTCTAATAAAATGCATTTATGAATTCATTGATAAATTATATTACTAAATTTATGTATTTTAAAAATATTTTTAATGCAATATGAGTAACATAAAATAAATGATAATTTAAATGTATATTTACAAAATGCATCCCTATTATTAGCCGGATTGTAAAGTTTTAAAAATTATTACAATGGTTTGGGATATATGTGGTACCTAATATGTAGGTATGTATGTATGTATGTATAAAAATAAATAAATAAATAAATAAAAACTCAATCAAGAAGATTAAGAAGTTAACATGAATCATAGACATTAGATTCTACCAAATTAATTTGTGTGTAATAATATTTTATTGTATAAAACATATTCATACTATAATATAATAAAGTTAGTAACTTTATGTCTTTTAAATCACATGCTAACTTAGAGTGATATCCACATTTATTACAGCTTCGTATAGCAGCAACCACATGTTCTTTGTATACTAAGATATCTTGAGATTGTTTCCATGTTTTATTTCTGAATCCCCAAACTGTTCTCAGTTTGCAACATCCTTTTTTGTATCTTCAAAGTCGTCTTTAATTCATTATCAATTGATCCTAAAAGCAGTAATAAGAGCACTTTCATTCTACATCGAAATGTCACTCACCTTCCTCAAATTTGTATGTATATATATATATATATATATGGAGTTGCTAAAACATGATTTATTTATATGATAGATGTTGTTTATTTCATAAAGTTAAAACTCATTAGTCATTGGAAAAGGGAAGCGGATTCATGCGAGCCCTGGTTGTAGTGGGGTTCCAAATTTGTACACGGGTTTTGGGTTTAGCGGTGTTTTTCACCACGTGCGATCTCCGGCGTTATGGCCTCGTCCCGTGCCGAAAATTTGCTCCAAGATATGCATGTATTCACAAAACGAACGTTGAACAAGACGCAATTCCAAGTCTCGATTATTGCGACGCAAGTCTAACCTCTGGGCGTGTTAGTTTATCTCAAAGTCTCGGCCTAGGACGACGTTCAATCCCAAAATTTCCAAATAAGACAACTTCTTGTTGTAATTGAGCTGCTTCGGTGAGCAGATTCGATTGTTGTTGACGGTTACGAAGAATTAACATTCAGAAACACAAGTTTCTAAACTGAACCCAGTGTGAGTCAAAGCCGCTGGTCGCAGACTCCGGCCCAAACATTGAAGCACCACCATTCTCTTCGTCCGGAGGAAGAAGAGCAATGGAACCCAAGTCATCGGGCAATCGCCAAGGACAATCCAGAGGCCATGTTTCCATTGCAACAGGTCCAGTGTCGATTCCAGCAACTCAATCCCTTGGATCAGATTCTCGCTGATCTCATATAGTGCCAAGAGTTGCGATACCTGGTCTGGCGCATCGATAAGCTCCGTAGAAGTGTCCATCGCTTGCACTGCTTCATTCGTGACCTTTTTGGGAACTTGTCCTCTCGTCTTGAACGGTGAGAAGTTGAGTTTGCATTTTCGGCACCGATACCGCGGCTGCTTCGGGCTTTTGTTGTTGAGGTCCAGAAACCTCACATGAGTAGATGATTTGCATCGAGGGCAAACTTTGATCTGGACCATGAATTCTATGGGTTCTAAGATTGGGATCTGGAGGTATCCTTTCCAGTGGAGCAGTCTCATGGGGAAGGGGTTGAACAAGAATTGGACCTCTGCCCCCGTATCTACAAGTACGGCATTCGTACCGCGGTTGTTTCTTGTTGTTCAGGTATTTGAATTTCACATCCGTGCTTCCACATCGTTGACATGCCTTGGGACGGTTGGCGAACTCCTCCGGTTCTTGTGCTTCTCTGTTCCGGGGACGAGCTTCGGTGGGACGTCTAGAAGACGAGGGGGACTCCATGTTGATCCTACGATCTGCACATATGTTCGCGACAAAAGGCTTGTTAGTATGTGTGTGTTAACGATGCTGCTGTGAATGATAGAGTTCAACCCAACGACGAGACGGTGTCTCTCTCTGTCTTTCTCTTCCTCAGAGATTATTAGGTGAAGGAGTTGTAGGAGACGGTACAATTTATTCACCTGATAACTATTTTAACACCTTCGACGTAATAAATTAGAAAAAAATCCAAGTCCAAGTTCAAATCCAAAATTAAGAGAATTAACGAAAAAGAAAGACGTATTGACAGGATACATCTATAAATCTGAAAGTAAAATAGCTGCTAAAAACTGACAAGAAACAAGAAAGGAGTAGTAAAATTAACATTTCCTTGTCATAGTAAAAGTGAAGCGTTCGGATAAATGAACGAATGAAGAGCAAACCATTGTAATCTAGACATGTGGAGTTTATAAAACATTCAATTGAAGGATAAGCTATACAAGTAAAAAGATAATCTAATTATATGTGTTATTTTTGAAACTCCCAGTAGCTTGATGTTTTGTAACACCAATCCTTGCGCAAGGGCGTAGTCGCCTGAGATCACACGTTCAATAAGAGATCCTGCGTGGGAAGACCTCTTGGCGAAGTACTGCACGAATGTCGACGATCCATCTCGCACCTCCATCTCGTGGTCCTGACAGTTGTCCACAAACAGCTTGCCAAAGGCTGTGGCATGAGAAGACTTGTCAAATGCGACTATCAGAGTGAAGGATGTCCTCTTCACCTCCGCAAAAGTTAGACAAGATTCCTACATCGGCAGAATTTGCCCCCGGTGTACGTGTACGTTGATGGTGTCTGCAGTGGCGGCAAGGGTGTGCTTCTCGCCAATGTTAGTGATTTTAGTGAAGTCGAATAAATTGTACCAAGTTCCCTTGAGGAAATAAGCGTCCTAGGTGTACAAATGAGGTAGCAGACGGTAGCAAAGGCCAAGAGCTTTCCTTGACAATTCAGCGACCGACTCCCAAACTTAAGGCTCCTGGGGAATGGCTCCGATGGCGTTATGGTTTCGGGAGAAACGATAGAAGGCTCCCATTTGCATCTACCTGCTGCAAAGCTCCTCTGTGGTGTTGCCCGCGAACCCACAAATATCAGCGCCAACCATTGGCACGCCGAACATGCCGGAGTTGATGATGCTCGCCACGGAGTACTTCAGAACTTCTCAAGTGGCCTTGTTGTTGCCAGTCCAGTGTGCGGTGTGCGCACCCGAGCCTACAAACGTCGACCTGGAGAGGACAAATGGTCGCTTGTGCGTCACAGTTGTCAAAACCCTCTGCGTAACAACAGACTCGGACAAGCCGTAAAGGATGTGGGCGTTGTACTCCAGGACATCATTCCAATGCTTCACAGTCATTAAAATCGACTTATCGCCTATCTTTCTCTATTTCTTTACATGATCGATCTTGTAAGGGAGATCATTAAAGCGGGAAGCTCTCTCCACGCACTGCAACACACATTCGTTGTTGCTAATGTTGCTCTTGTTGGCAAACACTGCCAAGCTCTTCGGAGTGAAGGAGCATTGATTCCCACTGCAGAAGTTTGAAGCTTTGTTCATGTCAATCCACAGACCGTCAAATGGCACCATGCTGAAGAAGTCGCGCATCTCTGTCGTCCACCATGAATCCACTTTAGGCTGAAGAAAGTCGGGAAAGTAAACAAGGTCTGGCCAAACTTGCGCCAAAAAGTTGTCCTCGAACTTATTTTTGAGAAAGACGTCCTCCTTCAAGCCCCGCTCCAGCGTGATGTAATCTTTATAAGCCACACTGACACCTACACAGTGGACAGGATGCAAGTGGCCATCAACTCATTGCTCGCCATGTGCACAACTACCAAACGGAAACGATTTCCTAAGCTATGACCATGTTTCAGAATTTCAAAAGAACGGATTAGTTATTAGGTTGTACCAGGGTTAAGGATGAGGACATATTGTTGTCCATTGGCATGAAGCTCTTCCACAAAGTTCCGGACCTTTTTCTCATCGTAGCGGATGGGATGCAGAGAAGTCCTTGCAAGCCTCCATGTGGTCATTGTCATTCCAGATAGTGCCGAGCAGGATGTTTACCTTCTTATAATTCTGTGCCACATCCTTGAGGTCGTCGATATTGTCATATCCCCACCGGCACTGATAGGTTCCAAAAGTCCAACACGGCATAGGCGCTAGCCAGTCTACAAGCTTTGTGTACTGATCGATCACCTCAAGCGGCGTTGGTTCGGCAAAGAAGTAAAAATCCAACACTCCTCCAATCACGACTTTTAAATTGATCATGACGTTTTTTTTGCGCTGTAGTTGGATCTGGGGGGACAACCATATAAATTAATTATGAGAACTCAAGTGGGATTTCGCTTTAACAATATGAGTGTGTTGCTTTAGCAACTCCCACATACACACACACACACATATGTATAAATATAAATATATCATAACAACAGTCAATCGCGTTGAGTTTGCAACCCAATAACTTCCCATCTTGTTTCCCTTTTACACTTTTGTTTCTTTATAATCGTGCCATGTGTAAAATTATTGGAAATAAAGTGGGAAAAAGGATGAAAATTAACGACGCCAGTACTTTGTTCAGAGAAATTCAAAGTTGGACTGTACGACATAATCAAACACATGACCCATGTATTGTATGTCTAAATGAACTGATAGGTTTTTTTTCCTTGGGTTTGTCATGTTTCAAAGCATGTACTAACTGAACAAAACTTTAAACACACGCATATACAATATACACACTCTCTACAGGAATTGTTCATATACGGGGGAGGGGGGGGGCAACCTACTTCAGCCCTAGATTTGACGAGGGGAACGAAGATCTGGGCTGCAAAGTGTCGCATTTTGGCACACTCAGGGATCCCCATAAATGGAGACCTATATTTATGTGAGGAGACACAGCTATGGGGATCGAAGGTTCCGGCAGCGCTGGTGGTCGTGGGTGACCGCGGAGACGGCGGAAGCCGTGGACTGGGTTGCACGGGGTCTACGCGGCATGGGGTATACAGTCTAGTCTATTTGCCTTGACTCAGCTTCGAGGTTCCGCTTCAGGCAACTGCAGAGCGAGGAATGGGGATGAAGACACGGCAATGCGATGTTGTTGTTGTAGAGGTCGATATGGGAATTCGGGATTCCTTCACTCGCTAGATTTGGTGTTTTGGGTACATATTTTTTCAAGGGAATTTTGTTGGGTTTCTGTGAAAGTCCACAGGACTTGGGTTTGTAGGAATCGTGGGCTCTGGATTGGACGCTTCGCAGCTCCGCAACGTCCGAATAGCTCGATCAGAAGCGTTTTTATGAGGGAGGCGAGGCGGAGGTTGTCGATAAGGTTTCTTGGAGGATTGTGCTTTAGATAAACGCTTATAAGTTCGCATTATTCGGGTTCCGGACGTTTGTTTTACGTTGTGGCGGACTCTGCGATTCGGCGCTTCGAAAAAATGATTGGAAGGCAGTATTTGGCTACGCTCTTTTGGTGCATCCTGTTTTTCTGCTCGCTCCTGGCCATGTTGGTGTTCAAGCAGGTCAGGGCGGAGGTCCCTGCCTGGCCGGCCGAAAACCAGGGATCTATCCCCCCGGTTGCGGACTCTCAAGAGTAACCTCTCTCTCTCTCCATCTCCATCAACCTCCAAAATCTAGCAATTCTGGTGTGTCGCGATATGTTTATTGTTGCCTCCCGCTTCTTCTGTTTAATTTCTCTGCGGTTAGAACCCCTCTCGCTTGTTAGCAGGTTAAAATCACTCTTTCGTAACTAACCAGCATTAAATGTGTTTACGTTCAGGAGACTATTGTCTTGTCAAGATTTTAGCTTTAATACTTGTTCCTTAGGGAGCTCTGTAGGTTTTTTTTAAAGTTCATACTCTTATGTTTGCGCCACAGTAGCTGGAACTATCCAACGACCATTCTAGATAGTAAAATACGCATCTAATGTGCGGTTGATACCTGAATGAAAAGCGTATTGGTCCTGTGTGCCTGCACAATTTTGTAGATTAGTCGACCATTCAGTGAGAGCAACTTCAATTCCTCGAAACCCTACAAAGCTTTCCTGCGAGCTATTCAGCTTTCGCTTCAAGTCACAGGATCACATAATTGGTACATAAATCTTCGAGTGGAAAGACTTGTTGTTTGATGTGACAAGCATTGGACGTTCGTGTCACAGGCTGATCATGAGAACCACAATGCTCCTGCTGTCTGTGGTGATAGTGTCTTATTCTATGTCTTGATGGTTCAATCTCTTTTGATCCCTTAAGTTCCGAAGGTCGTTTAAATTTTTTCAAAACTTGTCCGGTTAAGAACCAAACAATTTGATGAACGATACTTGAGACCCAATTATAGCATCTACAAGTTCAGTATGGGTATTTTGATGACAGAAGATTTCAAATGCTGGTTTTGAACGAACCTAAATAATGTTTTATGGTTCTAACTCAAACCGGATTACCCTCATTGTAAGGGAAGTATATGTGAAAATTTCATCCTCAATTGCCACGTTATATTTTATCTTTTCAATCTTAATTCCAAATTTTGTTCTTGTGTCAGTGGACTAGAGCCAATGATGGTAGTATCACTTGGAGGGGTCCTCCACGCAGTGAACCCTGTGACAAAGAAGACTCTCTGGTCGTTTGCATCGGGACCGGAAGTTTCTACCACGTTCATGGCTGGTAGGGACAAAGAAACCAAGGAAATAAACTCTAGTTTGGACGTTGTAGCAGATGATGGACTTAATGGTGAAACTGAGGATTGGTCTATGTTCAGTGGACCAGATGGTAAACTATATGTCCATGATAAGAATGGTATTGCGGTGAGTTTCTGTATTGTCATTCTCCTGTGTAACTTGTTGTTGCAATACTCCCTGCAAATTTCATTACAACACGTCTTCCTCTATTTTCCTTGACGTCGTATGGTTCAGAACGGTGAACCATGTTTTGGGCTGACAGGGTTTTAGTTTACAACTAACATGTTCATCTTCTTTGCGTCATTCGATAAGCATTACTATTAGATGAGCACTTCGCTTCGCCTGCTCGTTGGTCGTTAAGAAGCATTACTCTTGTTTATCCTGTAGATTGATTAATTTTCAGAAATAAATAGAGGCACGTAATTCTTAACTCAAACCGTATCGTTCTGCTGCCAGCTGTTGGTACGGTAATTTTAAAAAGATCATGTGTTGCATGTTGTGCACTACATTTCAATGGCTGCAAGTCTGAAAGAATTGCAGTATTAGTGCATGCAGAGAATTAGCAGTTTCAGGGTCGCAGCGCTGAAGTATTATCCATCTAGTATGCTTTTTAAGAAAAATGAAGGTTCGTCTCATAGTTCTGGTGGCTACAGCCTCTTCAGGTCAGCATAAAGGATTTGGTAGCCAGTTCACCTCATCACACGGACGATGGAGCAGTGGTTTTGAGTTCGGTATCGAACACCGCATTCCTTCTCAACAAGGACACTGGGGCTCTAATACGCAAGTTTGACAACTCTGGAAAAGTTTTGGAGAAAGCTGCCACTTTTGCGAACGAGAAAGCTAAGGCTGAAGACGCGGAGCTTTTATTGGAGCAAACCTCTGCTACTATTACTGATTCCGAGAAGAAGGTCAATACAATGCTTTGTCTCCGAACCGATTATTCAGTTACTGTGCAGGAGCTTGCAACGGGCAAAGTTCGCTGGAATGTCTCATTGGGCGAGGTAAAGACTCTGTCTCTTGTTCAATCTTCGGGGCAGTCGCCCACCTTTCGGCAAGCTTATGCCAACGAAAACGGGACTATTACGACACCGGTTCTCGCTGCTTCCATGTCGTCTCCAAGGCCATCATATCAAGTGGCTCCAATTGCCATTTTTTCTTCTTCTGGTGAAGTTTCTCCCTGGATCCACTCACTGTGTGATATTTGCATGTTCGCTTTGTCTTTGCAAATTTCTGAATACTTGTCTTCTATGAAGTCTCGTTAGAGAAACTTATCTGCGTCTCTTCTACAGGCGAATACATAGGAAATCTGCTGCCAGCAACTCCTTCACCTCTGGATTGGAAATCCAACTTTCCAGGAAAAGTTGCTTTTGTTCGTAGAGTGAAGCCAATTCCCAACGATGCAGATAGTAAACGAATCCTTCCAGTACTCGCAGATGTTCAAAAAGACTTTTTGAGTGGAGGATTCCCAGGAAAGCAGGCTTTTGCTGGGGTGCCAAGTTTGGACAATAGATCTGCCGATCACAGGAGTGGTAGTGTAAGAGCAGGTCGTGATACTGCTTGGGCTTGGGGTAGCGTTGCGGGAATTGTACTGTTAGTGTCAGGATTTTTGTCTTTTCTTTGGTACTTATACAATCGCTCTTCATCTGGAAAAAGAGAGGAGGTGGTGAAAATAAGGAAAGCTGGGGCCAACAAAACTCGCCGAAAAGTCAAAAAAGGTACTCCGTCGACTGCAAACAAAGGACCTTCTGAGGATGATGGCAACAACGAGATTACTCATTCTAAGCAAAGACCTAGTGCTGAAGCTAGTGCCGAAGGAACTACTCGGGGTGTTGCTATGAATAAAAGTGCGTATGGGGATGGTATACAAGTCGGACGGTTGTTTGTTACAAAGGTTGTCATAGGAGCTGGGAGCAATGGCACGAGTGTGTTTGAAGGATACCTCGATGGTCGTCATGTGGCTGTGAAAAGGCTTCTTGCCCATCATTATGACAAAGCTGTGAAGGAGATTAAATTTCTTATTACCAGTGATGAACACCCGAATGTGGTGAGATACTTTGCAATGGAAGAAACTCCAGATTTTGTGTACGTAGCTCTGGAAAGATGCGCTCTGAGCCTGAATGACCTTATTGTGTCCGAAAGCAAGAAAAACTCCTTAAAGCATAGCAATATAGATGACGATTCGGACGACGTTAAGTATCTAAAATTACCTAATGGAAAGGAGTTAAAACTCTGGAACTATAATGGGCGGTGCTCTCCTCAACTGTTGCAGCTGATGAGGTGAGGATTCCTCCATTTCTTTTTTTCTTCTTCTCTTCTCTTCCCTTTTCTTTCTCTCCTGCTAGTGGTGTTTCATTATTATTTTAATGAAGTCTATGCTGTTAATTGTGAATGGTTTGCGTTAGTCACAACGTATATTGGGTGAAACAGGGACATTGTTGCTGGTTTGGCACACCTCCACGCTGTGGGAATCGTTCACCGTGATCTGAAGCCCCACAATGTGCTCGTTAGTAATGGGCGTATTTTGCAAGCTAAGTTGGCTGATATGGGTCTGAGCAAACATCTTGCCAATGATGTCTCATCATATCAAGACACAGGTGTGTCACTGGTTTTTCCTGAACAAATATTGTTGGTCGTTCCTCTTGGAATTGGGGTTGACATTAGTTCTACCCAGCATTACATGTTTTGAAAAGTCAGTTGGGAAGCCTCTGAGATGTTCTGTTTTAAGTTGTGTATTCGTAATTGGTATACTCATTTCGGATTTGGGTGCCGTTGCTACTCACTACTTGCTAATTGTGTTTCCAGCTAAATGTCTCTTCATCCATAACGGTGTGACCAGGGTCACAAACGAATTTTGACGCAGTAACTGTGACGATATACATTGTTTCTTTATCTATTCGCGGCTGTTTTCGTAAGGCAGCCACGCCAGTGAATGCCCTGCTTTTTAACGAAAATATTGAAATTTTTCCAGGAAAAGGTGGATCAGGTAGCAGAGGTTGGCAAGCTCCAGAGCAGCTCAAAGAAGGTCGTCAAACTCGGGCAGTTGATGTTTTCAGCCTGGGCTGTCTCTTCTTTTTCTGTATCACAGGAGGTCAACATCCTTTTGGAGAGCATTTTCTTCGGGATGCCAATATCGCAAAAGGAGCTCCAGACTTTTTTTACATTGAGGATATGCCAGAGGCTTATCATTTGATTAAGGCACTGCTTTGTTATGACCCCTCCAAAAGGTAAGTCAGTTTCTTTGAGCTTCTAGGTCTTCTCTTTAGACTTCCAGTGGTTGAGTTTTCATATGACTTTATGCGCAATGAAGAATTCCGAGCTTTTGTTGTAGAAATTATTTCATAGACTCCTGTCGCCATCTGGACTTGCTCAGATGTGTTACATTCGTATATGTCACTGTGAAATACTTGATAGTCCTTAAGTCCAAATGTAGCAGGCGTTCATGCAGCTTATTGAATACAATGACTTGCAAGTCCAGTCTTTCGTGTAGAGGGCTCGCGCCATAATTTTCTCTCAAGAGTTATCAGCTTGGAGCTATTAACTAGGGTATTTATATTATCAGTAAGAATTCTTTGTGTGGTACATGCAGACCAGCTGCTAAGGATGTTATGCTTCATCCATTCTTCTGGAATAGCGAACAACGACTCTCTTTTTTGCTGAAAGCGAGTGATCGAGTGGAACATGAAGATAGAGTATCAGACTCGCAGGTGCTGCCTGCTTTAGAAGCTATTGGGCCCGATGTATTCGGACATTCTTGGGAGACGAAGTTAGATTCAAAACTGTTGGACGACGGACGTCGCTACCGTAAGTACAACTTTAGCAGTACCAGGGATTTGCTTCGCATCATCCGCAACAAAAGTCATCATTTTCTGGAGCTTCCTCAGGATATGCAGGTATGGGCCTAACATGCAATTCAGAATTTTGTTCTCAACATTCGAAAAGTTTTGCGTAATCTTTCTTAGAGCCTTCCTGCCAGACGACGAATTCAGAACGGCAAAGTTTTAGTATGCTTGGAATCAAGTTACCGTACCTACCTTTGTTATTTGATGAGTACTAGCACCTAATGTTAGGTTTAGTCAAAGGGTGAAGCTTACAAACTCCATGTGGTACGAGTATTTTGTTTCGGTTTGTCTTCGTTACATATTGACCCATTGAAGTCTTGGTTCATACTCGCAGGAATCACTGGGACCTTTTCCAGAAGGCTTCGAGACCTACTTTTCCAATAGGTTTCCCCGGCTGTTGATGGAAGTCTACAAAGTTCTGCACGATTACTGCAAGGATGAACCAACTTTTAAACGCTACTTCGAAGTCATTGACGAAGTATAAGATGTACTGTTAAAAATCACGTGATATTTTTAAGGCCTTGATGAGTCGATTAGAGCCACCTTTCGGCAGTTGGGAGTGTTCGGGGGAGGTGCTCATATACTCGCTTGATCCAGGTACGACTTTTTAAACTTAGTTAATTATTAAAAATAAATAAAAAATCGAGGCATTGCAGCGATGGCTAAGGAGTTTACTTGCTGGAAGTAACAGTTGCAGTCACATTGTCCTTAACCCTCAAGCACTAAAATTACGTCAGTTCTCAGTTGCCATAGCCACAATGATGCGGAACAGATCGCGGTCAATGCGCCAGGAACTGCAGCTTTCAATTCCTTCGGCTTTGAATGAGCAACTCTTTGCATCAGGTAATTTTGAATCTGGGCTAGTTACATCTTATTTGTTTGTGGATTTTGTCAGTGTACCTGAGAAACGTAATTACCTTCAGATTATACAGGCGCCATAACCATCTTGCAGTAACGGTTTTGGTTGGTGTTGTTTTATTTAGGACGAGCTGTTCAGTATTGGAATGGGAGCACTGTAATTACTGATTAGCATACGAGAGTGCAAGACCCAAAACGAAATGCATAATGGACGTGTGTTTACCCGAGACTTGGCGTATCTTTAGATACCTAGCTTTCGCTTTGACATCATTTTGCAACTTACCATGTCGATTGTTCTTCATTATTGTTCATTTATTCTCAAAGAGAAATTTCAAGAAAACGTGTACATCTTATCAGGTTACATTTCAATGCTTTGTGTAATCACAATTCATGGATCTTGCCGTGTAAGTGATGATGAACATGGATCTACTGGGTATATCAGCACTTCATATTGATAAATTGTCACTGTTATATCAGGTGAATTTAAATAAATGTCCAATTGAATGATATTGACAGTCAGACATCACGACGGTTTTGTGTAAAATTCCATGACTATCATAGGTACACATGATTGAACATGGCAATAGTTTGACTGTGACTAACCCACGACTGGTTGACGTACTAGTCATTAATTTCTCTAGTATTCTTGGAATACATTGTACAAATTGTTCCGACAGTTAGTTTGAGTTCCCTTTCTTGTATAGCAGTAAATTTGACCATTTAACTGGAAGATCTTCAAGAACGCTATATTCCTGCAGTCGGAATATCAACCGGTACCAGTTTTAGACGAGATCATTATGGTGAAAATCCCAACAATTCCATTTCAATCTAAGGGATTAATGCTCTTTAGTATACAAAACAACATGAATTTTACTCGGGATCTGATTTTCAATTGATAAAGCAGGAAACTGTTGAAGAATGAGCAGAGCTAATGAATTGGACGTCGAGAAGATTTGTTCTTGAGATTTTCTTCCCACTCCATCACAGTTTCTTTTCCCATCAAACAGGGTGAAATCTTGTTTTAGCCCGAATCACAAGCTTCTGATCAATAAACAAATGACCTCTGGTTAGCGGTGCTGCAAAAGAACTCGATGCTACAGCATTGTGGGGGCGTGACAGTCGGTCACAATGGCAGGGCAGGATGGAATTAGGAGACGTCGTGAGACTAATTCCTCACTGATTGTGTGAATGTTTGTTAGGCTCTGTGAAGGTAGGACTATCCCCTTTCATTTCTCTCAAGAGTAGGTGGATAGCATCACCCAGTTTCATACTCCCCTCCATCTGAGACAGTGGCATCGACATCATTAAGAGTTGCATGTACAATTGTAAATGAAATGATATGGGATCGATTGAAATGGTGATCATTCCAGATTATAGAAGCAAATCTAGTGAGGGAACCTGTTGCTGTAGCTGTTTATGGAGGTGCGCCAAGTGAAGAAGGCGAGAGTGAGAGCAGACGCCACCAAAGCTCCCCCTCCAAGCACCAGCGACAACGTAGTTGAGGAAACCATTGTTTTGTTCACCTTGCGGCGCTAACTTAAAGTCAGGGTTCATGTTGCTGCTGAACTATTTTATCACTCGGCATGGTATTCCCCCAAGGAAATTCTCGTATGCGATGGCCAATCTGCTATTTACACCCGGACCCATCTCGACCGTCTCATTAGAAGCATGTCTTCTCGTTGTTGGTCAAAACTCTGTCTTGGATGCTCGCACTGAACCCGATGAGCTACGTCGGACAAATGTTATGGGCTGTCGCTTACCCATAACTGGGAGCATCCACCAAACAGCCTCGTGAGCAGTAGTACTTGAAAGCGTGACCTAACGAGCAACTTGTACCGTGAACTATTAACACATCACGCTGGTAATCATAACAATATCTCCACGTAGCCACTTCAAAAATCTTCAGATCCAGTAACTTGGGTTTGAATCTCCACGTATTTGTCAACCTGGAAAGCGTCTAGGATAGCCTAACTGTGACGAAGAAGCTTGGGTCTGGAGTCACCCCTATAAAATGGCGGCCGCAGAGAAATGTTTCCTTGTTCCTTTCTCTGCTAAGGGGTTTGGGGGTTAGGGTTTAAGACACGCGCTTGTAATTCTGCCCCTTACCTGGGTGTGTGTTCAGCACCGTCAGTGACTTAAGGGTGTGCATTGGTTTGCACCCAAATCATTTCTTGTATTCATATACATGGCGGGGGTTGGAGCTTCTCACCCCGCGGTTAGTGGGCTTTAGAGTTCATGCTCTTATTCAGCTTTAAAAGCAGTTGGGTCGGTGGGCTCTGGTTGCTGTCCTGGGTTTGTTTGTGCTTCAGGGAGAGGTCTGTGAGTGCGGGTTGTTGGTGAGAGACATGGCCCTCTCGTGTAGCACTCAGATATTGCAGCGGTCATGGCTTGTGTATTTCAGACAGGGGACGATGTGCTTGGTCTCTTCTTCTGCAAATGTGGGACTTCGTAGTCGTTCATTGACGTCGTACTCGCACATTTTTAGGGCGCGTGCACGTCCATCCCAGAGTTTTCTTCCAGCATGGCGACAGCAACATCGGTCGCTTGCATTTGGTTTAAGGGGTATTCGCGCAATGTCTTCGTCCAGCCTAGACTCTGCGCAGGGCCATGGTCAACTTGCAGTGGATGTTCCTGCAAGTGCTGTGGAAGAAGAGAAAGTTGCGAAAGATTTCAATGATGCACATGAAGATAGCAAGGTGACCGCAGCTGCATCAATGGATGGAGAAGTGAAGGATAACTTGTCAGAATCTGTTGAGGATTCTCCTAGAGTTGTACTAGAGGATCAGGTACAGGAAGCATTATGCACTGTTGATCTGTTAAACGATGGAGATCGTCCAGAGCTGGCGTTGGAAGACGATGAAGCAGAGGACGGTGAAAATCTGCACCCATGGTCCGAATGGAACAAGTACCTCAATATGCTGGAAGCCGGAGGTCACTTTATCTTCGAGACCGAGACGCACGATAAGAGGCCCATGGTCAGACAAGAAGATGACCTTGGTAAAATCAAACGAGCTTCGATGGCTTTCGCTCGCAACAGAGACGATATTATCAAGTACGCGTCCATCACATTTTCCGCTTATGATACCAATTCGATTTCTCAAGTATTTTTTCATCACTGTAATCACTTCAGGAGTTGGATGCCTAAACTGTACAGAAATTTACTACTTTGCATACACTCAATGTTATTATCGAGTGGGGTTTAACTTTGTTGAAAAGTGGTCAAATGTGCTCATGTTGCTAGTTATGGCTGTGAATTGTGAAGCAAAAGGAGGCTTATTGATTTGGATGTAATTTTGCAGTGTACTCTCTCCTGAACTGTTACGGGAAATTGCGGAATTCGGCTGCCCAAGCACTGACCGGAAAGTCGTGAATGCAGGCAAGCGGCTCAGAGTTTCTCTTGACATTGACGAAGCCTCCGTAAGTTGATTATCTCACTCAATTAAGGTGTTCCGAGTCTTCAATGGCGAGCCGCTCGGTCTATTTTATAATCGTCGTTTTCCCCAGCATCACGTCCCGAACTACAGTCGAAGCCTTCCTGCTTGGAATGCATGGGGATGTCATAATTATCTCCCTGATGTTTTTTTGGAAGGTTCTGCGCTCTCCGGTTGTACGCGTACAAAATTCTCGTATGACCTTTATAAATAAATGTGACAATCAACTGAAATTTAATGCGTTGTGCACAGGTCTGCAAACCATGTGACATTCGGAATGCGTGTGAAAGAGCTTATAACAAGCCTTCCAACAACGACGCAGCCGCAACTCAAGATGTTGTCCGCCTTTTGGTGGCGTATGCCTCGCTTGCGAAGTCGCCATCCCGCTCTTTGCCTGGTGTGTACATCACTAAATCCTATCAGTATCTTATCTGCTAGTATAAATGCCCGGCGAGAGGTTTTGTACGCTGGTTTCAAACTTTTTGTTTTTTTGTATGTTTTAGTTCTGCGTGTTAATTACAATTCTTTAAAGGTTGAAAGCCCTAGTAACCGTTGAGACTTCAAAAAACTGCATGAATTTGTAGTTGATAGACTTATTAATCTATGCACCTGTTACAGCTGAAGTTGAATCTGCTGCCAAGGAGTTGTTATCTGAGGTTATCAAGGCTAGTGAGACTCCTCGAGATCCTTCTCTGCCCCTTCCTACTCCTCGCGCTGTGAATCCTCCACCGCAGGAAAAGAAAATTAGGAGAAATTCTTACACGGATAATATCGACATGAAACCAGGCGATTGGAAATGTCCAGAGTGCGGTCTTCTTTCCATATAGTTTGGGTATCGGTTTGAATAATGTAGTGCTTCTTTGATGTGGTTTATCAGCTTTGGTGTATACACGGACTTATAACAATTGATTGTGCACATAAAATAATTGCTGAAACTTAAAAATACAACATTTTGTTATGCCTCCTTAATATTATATCCTCCAGGCGTGTCCTCACATAGACAACTGCCAGTTGACTTTTTTTAGCTAAGTTATCCAAGTTGCTCAATTTACCTGGTTTGCTGAAACAGATGCAGCTTCATAAACTTTTCAAGAAACAAGGAATGCCGAGAGTGCCAGGAACGACGCCCTCAAGTAGAACTTCCACCTGGTGACTGGCAGTGTCCCGAGTAAGAACCACTTGAATGGACTGTTTTTTGTCTTCCTTTCTTGTCAATATATATAGTGATAATAATAGGTCGAAACTTACTAGAAATCTATCTTTTGGATATTTCAGAGGCCAACAGCTCGATTCTTCATCCTGGGAAGAAATTCAATATTAAGCGTTTTCAAGTTAATGGACTTTAATATTGATGTGGGCATTTCTGGTTTAAATCATGTTCTGATATTTGTATTTTACAGTTGTGGCTTCATCAACTTCTCTCGGAATGTTGTCTGTCGGAAATGTCAGACCAAAAATACGAAGGCAGAGATAAAGGAAGGAGATTGGGAGTGTCCCAGGTAAACCTACATTGTTGTATATGTTTCTCGGTCCAGAATTTTATTTTTGAATAGTCGAGAACCTGCAGCGAATGCAGTTAGTTTCTATTTATGACTGTCATGAGCTGTAGTAAATCAGCTATTTGAAGGAGTGAAACTTAATTTGCTAAGCACGTTGTGAAGTATCTGGTCGTGTCCTTTGCACCGAGTTTGAAGAACCTCGTTTAGCCGGCTAAATAACTACAACAAATACGTAAAATGGAAAATCATCATGCTTGCAGTCATTAAGAATCATCCATGTATTGACTGATATTTCATGCAGTTAGTGACGGAATGCTTATCTTGCTCACAGATGTAGGTTCCACAACTTCTCCAGAAACTCAGAATGTTATGAATGCCGGACTGAGCGTCCAAGGGGAACCGGGAGAGCATCTGACACGAGTTCTTCAAGGAGGTCTAGGCAATATGACAGAGAGAACTCAAGAAGTTCGTATGGACGTACCGAAGAGCGTGGTCTCCAATCGTATGGTCAGTCTGATTACGAGCGCTCATCAGAACGAAGTCGACCCTTATCTTCACGGTTAGAGGAGCGCAGCCGGCCCAGGGATGTCTGGGAGAGACCCGCATATAATGATAGAGAGGTCGGACGTGAAAGTTTTGATAGATCTCGTGGCGCAGAGGGTGTTGTAGATGGCCGTCGAAGGCAGCACGAGGAATGGAAACCTACTAGGACGCAGACAAAACCTAGTCGATTCAATTTTGATATTAGCGATGGCTCTGACGAAGATTTGGCTAGCACCGTAAGTTCTGATGACGATTACAAAGAATTAGATTTCGGAGACCAAAATGAAGACACTGATCATGAGGATAGAGTGTTGGCGCGAGGTAGAGGCTCTTCTGGAAAGGTGTCTAGGGGGGGTCGTACAGACAACTGGAATTCAGCAGTATCGAGAAGGAGAAGCAAGTCAGAACCGCCTTCTAGAGGATGGAATCGCCGAGGATCGGAGTTGGGTTCTAGTTCAGGAGATGAGGGAGATTTTGAAGATTTTGAAGATTTGGATTTCGGTGATGATGACGAAGACCAGGATTTTGCGGTATCATCTGGCCGAAGTGGGCCAGGAAGAGGTAGTGGGAGGTCCAGAGCCCCATGGGCTAGAGACGACGACAGCTTGGATTTCCGAGGTTTTCATCTATCAGCTTCTTTCCACTAATTTGAATCATGCTCCCACTCTCTCCTCTACCCCCCCCCCCCCCAATCCTCTTTTCTCCCCCGTTTTTGCTGAAGATGTTGAGTTTTAGTTTGAACATGACTGACCCACCTATGCATGTGATGTCCTGCACGTGTAGGAGCACCAAGGGATGCATACTCAGACGACGAGGGTGACAGTCGCTCTTTCAGGGGTAGGGATGACTCATGGTCATCCAGAGGCAGAGGTGGTGGCCGTGGAGGCGGCAGAGGTTCATTTGGTGGCCGAGGTGGACGAGGTCGAGGCGGTGGTGGTGGTGGTGGCAGGGGATCGTACGAAGGCTCTTCCTCCCGTGGAGGTCGCGGTGGAGGTGGTGGCCGTGGCGGTGGCGGCCGCAGAGGTGGAGGCCGAGGGGGCGGCGGTCGCGGAGGTGGTTTCAGAGGCCGCGGGAGGTAGAATCCTTTCCTGAATGAGTTACTGTGAAGTACCCACTTCTTAGCTGGAATAAAATCCCAACATTCAAGAGTAGTTTTATTTGAGGAGGCCTTCAGATTCTCGTGCAATTCTTTCCAACACCTACATCTTCCCGCAAGAAAGCAAGTATTTCAAGAGATTGGTAGTTTAAGTTGAGGTTTTCTCCCTATAAATTTCAACATCACGGTTTGTTGCAAACCAGTGCCACTGTAACGGCATTCACACATATTTTAGTTTGTTCAAGGCACATTTTTTGCAGTGTCGAGTACTCCGTTTTTCCTTACTTACATGGTGGATTCCTGCAGGGTGTATGTTGCTCATTAAGCCTGTTGCTCATTGTCTAAGTTGATACATTTGATTCTGAAGGCTAGCTTTGGAACTGACGTTTAGGGTTGCTTCTCACGCTATGAGATAGATTTTCCAATTTTGTTTCGGGTATGAGGTAAAAGACTCCAATTTTGTTTTGATTTATGCAAAGTATGGGTATTTTACGCAAAAGATAAGTTGTGCTAGGTCAACAACAGATCTGAAATTGCTTTTATCCAGTACGCTTGATCATGATTTGTTGAACGACCATAACTTAAGTACTAAATGTGTAGAGCGAGTCCTTTTCTTAATTACTACATAAATACACGGTGTGTTATCGTGGTACGTGTCATGGTTTTTGTTCGTTTGTGGCTCTTTGGTCATCAGATAAAGCTTCTAAAATTAATTATTAATTTTTATTCTTTCATCTGAGCACACTCTAAAGAATACGGTTGAGATTTATCATATATGTTACGGAAATCCTGGTGAAGAAATGATATTAATTATCAAGACTCCTTGAAAGTAGTTTCATTTCTGTCACTTTCAGTCAAAAGCAATGTATTAAAGACATTTGTTGTGACTTTGGAATCGATGTTTATGGTTACTTTAAAATTTGAACTGTGTTTTGTTTGTTGTGATTAACTTTTGTGTTGCTAATACACGTGTGGTGGATTGTTGTTGGTATTTGTTGTTGTCTTTATATCTTTCAACTTGATTAGTATCAACGTTGTTGAAAAGATTGTAACTATGGTGTAGTATGTATAAATACTTTGTAGTATATCTATATATTGTACCATGATTAGATGAACATATAATACGTTTAATCATAATAATAACAATAATATCAGTTAAATTTTTTTAGTTATAATCTTTTTTGAACAACTTTAAAATCTATTTGGTATTACATATATTAATCAACAAAGAGGGATTGAAAAAATCTTGATCATATTGATTTATTTAGTTTTGAGTCTTTGCTTCAAGGAAGTAATTTGAAATAGAACTACAATGTAGTAACTTGCATTTGCCTAATCATACAAAATTTGGGTTCTAAAATCCTTCATTGGTATTAATTAGTTTCTACTAATTTATGACAATAGTAAACTGTAAAGTAAATGAAAAAAAAAAAAAAAAAGGTAATTTTTATGTAAATGATTTTTATAAGAAAAATTATTCAAAAATAAAAATAATTTCTACTTTTTAGAATATTTTTATTATATAGGTATTTTTTAGAAAAAAATTGAATAATTGATTTTATGTCTAAAATTATTTTTACTAAAAGATGGAATTTTTTATTTATTATCATTTTTTATTGTATATTAATATGTTTTTTTGTATTTCGATTTAATTGATATTTTATTATTTATTGTACTAGAAACTATTAGCAAAGATAATAGATGGCACAAAAACTTTATTATTTTTCATCATAATTTTAAAAACCTTCATTAATATATTTTTTAGAATAATTAAGTATAATAATTGAATACAATATCAAATACTTTAAATTAATTTTTTTAAATAATATTTAAAATAGTATAGTTTTTATTTTTATTTTATTTTATTTATTTAATAAACAAAATGGTCTTTTTTCTTGTAAAAAACTATAATATTTAAATCTTCTATTCATATTTATATTTTATTTTTTATATTTATTTTATTGATAATCAAATATTTTATATTTTAAAAGATTAATTAAATCATCCATTTAGATTTGTATTTTTGTTGGTAATGAAAGATGTTTCTTTTAAGGCTCAACTTCTTAAAACATTAAGCTTAAAGTAAGAATCTATAATAAACATTCTCTACTTACTTTTTCATAAATAACATTAATGAGTTGATAAAAAGTTTCAATCTCAAGCTCTTATGATCCTATATTTGTAATAGTAGATTATTTCGCTAAGATGACATATTTTGTACCATGTACAACAACTATTACATATGAAGAAATAGCTAAACTCTTTCTTGAATTTTTTTTATTACTATCATGGATTGTCAAGGGATTATATATCAAATAGAAGCATCCAATTTGTATCTAGATTTTGTATAATTCTTTATAAAATATTGAAGATGGACATAAAAGTATCTTTGGCCTTATATCTTCAAATTGATGTTTTAACTAAATAGTGAATCAAATATTAGAGTAGTATTTGAAATGTATTTTTTAACTACCATCAAGATGATTAAACTATTTGCTCTTGTAAGAAGTTGGATTATTGTAGACTTAGACTATTTTCTTATAGTAAACAAATCAATCTAGGTGGATATCAATTATACCCATTAGAGTTTATAAAAATCCATTGTATATTTTATGTGTCTCTTTTTGAGCCATATAAAATAGTGGATATATTGGAAAGAAGGCAAATGTCACATCCTCATATAGAAATAGACAACCAAGAATTTAAAGTAGAAGAGATTTTAGATTCAAGATGGCACTAAGAAAGGTTAGAATATCTTATTCATTGGCATAGATATGATATTAGCAAATGCACATAGGAACCATCTATGAATCCTACAAATGCAATAAAAAAGATTTATATTTTTCATCAACAACATTCATCAAGATCAAGATAAAAAATCAAGAAATATTTTTTTATAAAGACTATATTTTATTTTATATCCTTGTTTGTGATTTTTTTTTTGGAATTGTGAAATTAAAGAAATAAAGTATCAACAACCAATCCATTCAACTTAAGAGCTTTCTTTTATTGAATTAACAAATAAGCCATTAAATTATCATAATCTTCAAGCTAATGTATTAGAATTAATGATCTTCAAGAACAACATATTTTTCTTTAATTAGATGGCAAGATATAATGTATTTTCTATCACAACCTTAACAAAGACTTTTAATATTTGATGATATTATTGGAGGTAGAAACCACTTCTATTAGTGTTTCAAATATTTTATTTGAAAAAAAGTTATAAAGGCCTAAATAATGATTAAATAATAGGGTAGTCTTATCCCTTTGGTATGAGATACTATCAATGATTGAAAACACCTATCAACTACCTCCAATAAAAGCAAAGATGAAAGTATGTGGTAAATATAATTTTCCACATCTTAGAATTTTTAAACGTGTGATCACTACTCTTTATAGAACTTATTTCTAAAAGAGGGAATAATTTTATAACTATACATATTAATTTTAGTATTTACTTAAATAAGAAGATTTTGATAGAAATAGGTAAATTTGATAATATCTTATATATAATCTTTTTTAAAACTTAATAGATATTTATTTGACTTTTTAAGTGTTTGTCAATTTCTTTCTTATTTCTAATCTAATTTTAAGAATTTATATATTTCTTGTCTTTGAGAATGATCATTTTAGTTTCTTCTTGAATATATATACTTTCTCATTTTTTTTTGTTTTTATGTCATCTTTCTTTCAAACACATCTTATGTCATATTTCAACTTATTTGATCCTAAAACTTTAGATCAAGTTATTAATTTTTCCATCTATTGCAACAACTACCTCTTTAAATTTAAATTAGAGAGCCAAATATTAGCAACTCAATGCTTCTATATATATATTTTTTAAATACTTCTACCAATTAAGATATATAATTAAACATAAAATATATATAAATTGATATTATATGTTTAAAATTCCTTGTGACCTAAAGAAAAACTTGACATTGATACAAAGAACTATGCTTATATTATATAAAAATAGTATAAGTTTTTTAATATTATCCTAAAAAGCAATAAAATCACAAGACAAGGAGTACAATTTTAAATAAAGACAATATATTAGAAAATACGTTTATTTAAAAAAGTAACTATATTCTTCTACCAAATTATATCATAAAAGCATTATACTATCTTCTAAGTCCTTTGCTAGCTTTTTAGTGCAAGTTTGTGAAAGATCTAAAAATTCTATTGTTTTTTACTTTGTCTTGCTAGATTCTAACATTGCTTGTTTTCTTAATGAAGACTTTGTTAAGTATCAAAAATATATACATATATATATATATATATATATATGTATATATATATTTATATATTACAAAAAGACAAACATATATACATACAAGCTATAGATGGAAAATCCTTATCTTTAAAAAATATCATTTATAAAATTTTACTAATAGAAGTAATTATAAAAGGTCATAATATTCTAATAGCATTTAATATTATAAACTCTACCACCAATCTTATTATTTTAGAACTACCATGGTTAAAAATATATAATCCTTAGATAATTTAAATATTTCTTAGTTTTAATTTATTTTTAAATTTATTTTAGAATATAAATTTAATTTGTTTTTAAATTTATTTTAGAAAAAAATATTTTTAATATCTAAAAAAGTCAAATCTCTATTTATTGGAGCTAAAGCAATTACAAAACCTCAAAAGAATATTTATTTATTTATTATTATTTATAAAAAATAAGATATATATTTAAGTATAAGTTGCAATAGAATTTTAAATGAAGGTACAAAATATAAATATGTATTTGATGTCTCATATATATATATATATATATATATATATATATATATATATATATATATATATATATATATATATATATATATCATTCTTCTTTGTAAAGAAGAAAAATGGATCTATTTAAAAGTATGTAGATTATTATAAATTAAACAAATTTAATATTAAGAATTTGTATAATTTTTCTTTGATATCAATACTTTTTAATCAAGTGAATAAATTAAAGACCAATATTAAGAAATATCAATATAAAACCTATAATTTAATATATATTTAAGAAGAACATGAAGAAAAGACTAAATTCTAAATCAAGTTCAGCTATTTTAAATATAGTATTATGCCTTACAAATGCTTAGACTTACAAATGCTTTAGCTACTTTTTAGCATTTAACAAGTAATTTATTTTTTAATTTTAAATAATTATTTTATATTTTATTTTGAAAATATTTTAAAATATGGAAGAGAATGAATAAAATATTTGCTTTATATCACATAAATTTTGAAATGGACAATTATATAT